GAAGTGCAGAAGAGCGAAATGGCAAGTCAGGACATTGAATTTTCTTTAGGGAATCTAGATTTGCCGCTTCAAGTTTGTCAGCCACGTCGATGCATCCTTGAATAGGTATAGAATCCGCGCGGCGACCAAGCGCGATGAAGAAATTGGACTGGACGCGCATGTTATTGTCTGCAGAACTATTACTGTCGCGTTTAGATCCGGGAAGATCTAGACTTTAAATCATTCTCAAGACCTGTGCAGCTTGTCAAACATTTGACAGCACGGATTATACTTTTTGAAGGTGTTGAGCAAAGGTCTTTTTTATCTTCATCCGTGGTAGTTGCGCACATTTGCGCGAGTTTGTCACATATACTAGAGATGATAGTGGAGTTTATTCTCTTGGCAAGCTCTCCGTCCTCTTCTCACATTTCTTTTCATTGGTAGTTGCAGCCCATGATGAGCGCTGTGGGGATTGTTTCCGATGAAAGTTTCATCTGGACTGATAATGTGCATTTGTTGATTTGAGTCAGTTTGGTGGTAGTGGTGAGCTCAAACTTGCTCATTGTCATTGGCTGATGTCTTGGCAATGGGTTGATAATAGAAGGTTTCCTATTTCTCGAGCTTGATCATTTACTTTTGGTATTCGACTTCATTGCTGGCAATCGATCTTCTTATTTGTAATACCGGTATCTAATAGACATCATGGACGCCATTGAAGCTCGCCATATCCAAATGGCGGATGATACGTCAACCATGGAACCGCATTGGGGATATCTTGCTCGTGTATTGCCATGTACGAATGATGCTACTTCATGTGAATATCTGGATGCTGTTTATGTAAGTCATCATGCCAGTTGTCCTGCCTTCAGAACTCTATTATATGTCGCTTCCGACAGACTACCTTTCATTCCTTCTAGCAATAAGACCCTTATCCATCTTTCTGACACTGACATTTTCTAGCATATACATGATATATCTATGCTCTACACTTTTATATTATGGGCAGTGATAGGAGGCATTCTGATTATACTCACTACTTTACATTTCATAAAACCTTCAGGGACAGCTTCTACCAAAGCTAGAGACTCAGAGATACAAAGTAGCGTGGGAAATTCGTCCTGGTACTATCGTGCATGGCGTGGAACAACGGCTGCTTTCCGACGATATCTCCTTCCAGAATGCTTTATCAAATTCTTTGGACATGTAACCAGGTTGCAGGTATTGATACTAGCAATTATACTAGGTTACTTGCTGATCTTTACGTAAGTATTGCGCCCACTCGAGGAGAAGTTTGTACAGTAGTAATAATGTTCGACAGATTTGTTGGAGAGGTCTACAAAACATGGATGACTCCTGTCAAAAAATCGACTCTGTTCAGTACCCGATCTGGCCTCGGTGGTTTCTCCGACCGTTTAGGAGCATTCGCGTATGCATTAACACCCTTCACGGTACTCCTTAGTACTCGGGAATCAGTTCTAACTCTCGCAACCGGAATTCCTTATCAATCGTTCAACTTTCTACATCGCTGGATCGGACGTGTTATTTTCATTCAATCCGCCGTGCATACGTTTGGCTGGACTCTTATCGAAGCACGTTTATATCAACCGCAACCGACTACATGGCAAACTTTCATTAAACAGCCGTATATTATCTGGGGTTGCTTTGCATTATCATTTGTTTGCTTCCTATATGTTTTCAGTATCCGAAGAGTTATCCAATGGACAGGATACGAGTTCTTCAGGAAGACTCATTATGTGGTGGCTTGTTTATATATTGGTGCATGTTGGGGACATTGGCAACAATTGAAGTGCTGGATGATTGCTTCTCTCGGATTATTCTTTATTGATCGAGGGGTAAGGATCTTGAGGACTTTGCTAATTCATGTTGGATATTTTGATGCCAGTGGTAACGCAGGTAAGCACTTAGATTGACCTTTGCTCATTGGTCTCACTTGTTAATTAATTTAGGCCTCGGATTCCATCCTGCTCAATCGACCCTTCAGTACTTTGATGATAAGGACGGCGGCGTTATTCGTTTAGAATTCAACCACAAACACGCCCCATGGGCTCTTGGACAACATTTCTTTCTCTGCTTTCCTGCTCTCAGTATCTGGCAATCGCATCCCATAACTGTGGCATCAGTACCCTCAGATCACCACACATACATCATTCGCTGCCGCTCAGGCGAAACTGGAAACCTCAAAAAGCTAGCCTTAGACGGCCAACTCACTACTCCTGTAATCCTCAGCGGTCCCTACGGAGAGCAATTGTTAAGACCAACAGAGGAACCAACTAATATCCTAGCTATAGCCGGTGGAACCGGTATTTCGTTAACATTACCTCTGGTCTTAGCGGCTACTGCTAGCGACGCAAAGATATACGAAGGACGAGCCATTGACTTTGTTTGGATTGTGCGACGGAGTTCGTGTCTAGACTGGATCCGAGAGGAATTAGAGGAGGTGAAGGGGAGGGCAAGAGATGCCGGAATGAATCTTAACATTCACATCTTTATTACACAAGAGGAAGATCCAGATTCAGAAGGAAAAAAAGAAGCGACAATTACTAACGATGAAAAGACAGTCATGGAAATGGATGATAAAGCCATGGTAAACTCGATATCAAGTTTGAGTCCGGAAGGAGGATCCGGTGGATTCAAGGTTTCATATCTGGGTGGCTGCCAATGTTTTCATCCTGATTTGAAACAGGTGGTTAATAGCTTCATGCAAGAGAGAGCGGGGAATGCATATAGAACGAGGGTCATTGCCAGTGGACCCAATGGTATGGGAAAAGATTTGAGGATTGCGGTTGCTAAATGCAATGATGGATGTGCGGTTTTGAGAGGGGGAAAGAAGGGTGATGTGGAGTTGGTTTGGGATGCTAGGGATTGATACCCCCCGTCGCAAGGAAGTTCTGGGACAAAAAGCAAGTAATGATGCGTGGAAGATAAAAATATAGATATGACTTTATGTATTATGACTTTACGTACAGCTTAGCTTGTACTTTCAAAATGATAGCAATTAATATTAAAGCAATTAAATTTCTTTAGAACCGCGTCTATTTCCTTAGACCAATGCTCTGCGACGTGTGTAAAGCGGTAATCGCGCTAATCTAATGGAATCATGTCAACATCTGCTCCATTGGTTGCTGGCATAATAACTTCAGCCTTCTCCCAACAACAAGGTTATATTCCACCCACCAATCACTTCCTCCAAGCCCTCTGCGCGGAACCGGAAACGACAAACTTTATATTCTATGACTCAATTTCACTTCTCAGGGATATAGGCGCTTATACAACACACAAAAAAACCTCGCCTATAATCAACCCATTTCCGAACCTTCAGGTTCACCACAAGGTCTGCAGGAATAATATCGGTCTATCGCAATAAAACTCCTAGGCCCTTTGCGCAGCTCCGCGAGCTAGAATCTAGATTCTGCATCGATTCCCTGTCTTATTTAGAAAATGAATACCGAATAGAAAGGTGTGGGGAACCAACATGCTCGACTAGGACTTGAGATGATTGTTTATTCTCCGAATTGGGAATGGGACATTGAGAATGGGTCTGGGTCTGGGGTAGGTTGAAGTCGTATTCTTTCGGTTGTTTGGAGGGATGAGGTCTAGATGAGGGTGTGTAGTACCGAATGAATGAAGCTTTACTAGCTAGTGGATAGGTGGGGTGGGGTGTGGCGATGGGATTTTCCGATGAAGATAGGAGGGGGAAGATTTGGGAGGGTATATAAGAGATCATACTTATGGGAGGAGAAGTCCCGAGAGTATCTTTTCGGGCAGTTGTCTTTGGGTTTCCTATTTTGAACTATTTACATTGATTTCAATGTCATTACGGATTGATTGCTACACATTTGCTGTCGTGGAAATTCCTTCTTTATAAGAAACCACGAAGAGGACCCATCCTTAAATATAACTAGATACACAATCACGCAATGGCCGTCACTTGGGAAACACCTAAACTAACCCTCTTAAATCGATTCAGAACTACAAGGTAATGCTCCATTTTTCACCTCTCACTCACATAAAAATCCCTAACACCCAACCAGCTCCTCTTCATCTACATTCTCATTCTCTTCTTCCGAAGACAATGAAAGCACTCTCGACAATAAAGCCCAAGCACTAAGAAAAGAACGTACAGGAAATAGTAAGTTCCGCTATTTCCTTTTGGCAGCGTAAAGACTCTAACATAAGCGAAATAGGTTGCGAAAAGAAGAGTAACATGGAGAAATTGGAGAGAGTCATTATTTTCTGTAGTTTGTTCTGTTAGGGGTTATTTTCTTTTGGCTGGAAATGAGAGTCACGTTTCTTGCTTGAGCTTGGGATTCTAGTATCCAAGGGTTTGGTTTTGGAGTTGGACTTGGATGCAAAAAATTGAGATGATACTCGGCGCAATGGGTAGCTTGGGATTGCTAAAATCAAGAGGATATTTAAGGGAGTGCATCGCATGGATGCAGTGTGAACACGGCGCTTTTGGCAAGATAATGGAGTTTAGACAGTATGAAAAGCATGTTCTCTAGACTGTTCCTATGTTTGAAAGTTTTTTCTGTTGCTCTCATGTTGAAGAAGTTCTCGATCTATTCACATCCTCAAACTAGACTTTCCGTATCCCCCATTCGTATTGAAGTTAAAAGCACTACTTCATCCTCTCATATTCATCGCGCAAAGGTGTTTATTCCCTCGTGGTCTGGAAGAAAAGAATTGAAAAAAAGAAGAAAAAAAATCTTCTCAGCACATTAGTGAATAGTTTCTATTCAATACGATGACTACCTAGTGCTTCTCATTTCGGTAAGGGTTGTTGTATCGATTTTTGCGCTTCTAGCAAACAACCTTTTTTTTTACCATCAACTCTCCAACCTCCCCCCCCCACCCCCTTCCCCCCAAAAAACATATCATGGTACAGCATATTGTATCGGATACTACGATTAAGCAAACTTTGTTTGCTCATTCATTGCACAGTCAGATACCCTTCCCATCATAGCCAAAAGGTGTCGCATAAGCCACTACCTGCAAGACCAATGGAGCCAAACACTCCTTACAGAAGTCCGAGGCCATCGAACAAGATAACGAAGGGTAGAGAAATGGTCGATCAACAAGTCGGTGGAGAATCCTCAAGCAAAGGCTCTCCTCTTCCCGTCAATCCTTCTAGCAAATGTCCATTTGATCATTTGACAAACTCGCAAGCTTCTGTTGATGTTTGTCACCCTGGATCTGTTTACTGGGAATCAGCTGAGGGACGAGGCTCTACACTTTTGGAATATTCAGACATCGAAATGGGGATGGAAGTTGCGGGCCATGGAAATGGTGAGAGAACTGGTGGGGCTGTTGGAAGTGTTAAGCCACGAGTTCGATTGCCGGTAATGACACAAGGAACTATCAATTCCGTGGCCATTACACAACTTCAAGATGAGCTTGAGGATGCTAAGAAAGAATTAGATAAGCAGCGAGCAATATCTGTACCATCAAAGGATGAAATCATTCTACCAAAGAGAATGAATCTGCCGCAAATGATGGAGATGTTTCCAGCAGTGGGAGATCAGATTAATGCTAAGATGGACCAGAAGCTGAATGATGTTCGCGAAGAGTACGAGATGAAACTCAAGAGGTTGCAAGATGATCATAATGAGGAGCTTTTAAGAATCGGAGCAATTGCAAGCGAGGCGGAGTCAAGATTACTCGCAGCTGAAGAAAAGTTGAGAGGCTCGGCAGTGTTTGGTCAGAGATCCCAACATGAGTCGTTCGGTAATGTCTTGCCTGGCATTCAGAACTCTCATGGCCCTTCAAGACACACTACCAGTGGCAGACAAGACATTTATCAACCTGCCCCTCTTACAAACCCTTTCCGAAATAACAGATTGGCAAACGGCGATGGTCCTTCCACCCCTTTGACAACCCCTTTCCGTAACAACGAATTGGTCAATGGCGATGGCTCTACTACCCCTCTTACAAATCCTTTCAGAAACAACAGATGGGCAAACAGCCATGGCCAAAAGAGGGGATACGACGAGCGTATTCAACCTGAATTCCGCAGAGATGGTAAGAGAGTGAAGAGAGAGCAGTTTTAATGATTGGAGAGAATGCTGTGTCGAATAATGGAGAGAAGATTTGTGGCGATTTGAAGGAATACCTATATCAGGGAGGTAAATATAGTGCAAAAGCACCATTCTCAGTTGATATAAAACTGGAGTTTGGATAGTTGTATCACCAACTTGATGGTTCCTGCCGGCTTCAAATTTATATTTGATTAAATGTCACTTGCAAAGTTTGAACCTTACAGGAATTATACAGCTGGGCCTAATGAAAGGTTAATGTTTTGGGGAGTGGAATAATTTAGTGAATGGGTAGGGCTCGAGGATGGAAATTCTTCTAGCTTGCCAACGTACATGAAAGTGAAAGATTGTTTGATCCAGATCGGGGTAGTTTGGCAACTTCGTTAGAGCTTCATCTGTCTTTGTGTCTGGACAGCTCCTTCTAGTTCTTAACCGACACAACATAATCAAGTCCTAGGACTCTCTCAATTGAACTACAGAGAGTATGTAATTTCATGCCCGAGTGAGATAACATATTTGAGAATATCAATCGAGTAGTATGCTTGCGGCCTGACTGTCCACCGTTTGAATCTAGAAATGTAAGGTTATACGGCAGGGAAGCGGGATTTTGGAATGTCGTCCCATAAGTAAATTGTCAAGTAAAACTTTCTCCCATATTATGTATTCTCATACTTCCCATAAGAGTCGTTGAGAATAGAACTTGTCATTAGCATTATGATATAGACTTGGTGTACCCATAGATAGTATAGTACGTGCTGTCGTAGTGGAGCGTTAGTATGTTGATGCTGCTTTAATACTGCGGACATAATGGATTTAAAGCAGCCTTACGGGCTGCCACGCCACGCCCCGAAAACACCAAACAAATCCTTATACGCTCCTCCGACCATCACTCTACGACGAAAGTATGAGATTGTGCAAGTGTACTATTGAGCTTTCAATTAACAAGAAATGACAGCTTGAAAGGAATTTCTAGTTTCAAGCATAAGAATCATGGCCGCCCTTTCGGATCTTCACCAGAGAGCACAGGTGCTTTTCTGGCATCACCTTCGCTCTTTCCATATCAATGGCATAGCAAAACGTGAGTCTGCCAGACGTTCAGTCTTTGGTCTCTTTCCTATTGTAGTAATGGAACTAGCTCAAGTGGCTTTCTCTAATGTGGAAGTTCATTCCTCATCTCTCTACATCACATCGCCGAATCCATTCAAACACCTTGGAAATGTATCTCGCATTACCTACAACTATTCTTTTTCCTCTTCTTCACATATAACATAATTACTTCCTTTCAATCACTACTATTCATCCCTATTCCAACGTTGGATATCACAAATTGCCTATACATTGCTCACAACAAGCCTGCCTCACCTACTTTCATTGTAAATCTGTGGGTTACCTTGCCATACTACTCAATCGGATTCTTATGAACTATCTCACTGAGTGCCTTCTATACGCTGCAGTTATATTAGGGTTCGAACCAGACTCGATACTCACCCTTGAACAGAACTTGGAACCAAAATTAACTGCTGGTTTATATTCCGAACCAAATTTCCCCTTGACGACCACCTACAAGTCTTCACCTACTAACCCACCCCTTTCACATATTCAACCCTGGACGTGGTTCTAATCAAAACTCAAAACACCGTGATACTCTCTAGAATAGCTCGCCATCTCGGACGACATCTCAAGCTCTGTGATGAGAGGATTTTGATCGATACAGAGCAAGTCATACTTCAAATGACGGCAATATCGCCATACCTCGATATTCGACCGCTTAAACACTTTGCGCAGAACAAGTGCTTTCGTAGCACTAATTCTTACTCAACAACGTACCGTGCACTATATCATTTATGGTCAACACTAGCAACTCAACAAATGCCACGGCACCTATTAATAGTACCCTTCAGGCCTGGCATAATTTGCAAGGGCATGTTATCGACAAAAAATATGACGCTGGCTATATCTTCTTATCATACTTGGTCAGCCTGGTGGGCGCCTGGACTGCATTTGAGCTGCTCAATCTGAGGACAACAAGAAAGGGTCGCTACAATTGGTATGACTCTACCAATCTCCTAGGAACCTATTATATTAAGTTGACATCAGGACGGTCCTCGTATTCGCTTCGATAGCAATGGGAGGTGTTGCTGTTTGGTGTATGCATTTCATTGGCGACGAGGGAATTATTCTCGGCGGTGGTGATCCTACCTTACAAATTTCATACAATGAGTCTTCCCTTTCTGAGTCTTTCTTCCTACCTGTTGTAGTATTCTTCATCGCATTCTGGACTGTTGGCTCCAACGAAACGATAGATCTGCCCCGGGTTGGTTTAGGTGGGACTTTAGCTGGGCTTGGAATATGCGGTATGCATTACCTTGGACAAGCTAGCATTTCGAACTATGCGTGCTTTTATAATATTATATGGGTCGTCATTTCCGCACTCATAGGCATTTCAGGAAGTGTAGGATCTATCTACCTGTTTTTCCTGTGGCGTTCATCCTGGGCATCATGCTGGTCAAAGAAGGGTATCTGCGCTTGTTTACTTGCTTTTGCCATATCCGGGTTACATTGGTTATCATCTGTTGGAACACACTACCGCCTTCACAGTCGCCCAACACCTCCGGTTTCAAATCCGACCGAGCATTTTGCTATAATTGTCGCTACAGTTTTGGTGAGTTGGATTTCGAAAACTTTATAATCCATACTGATTGAATCAGACCATAGTCGCTGTCCTTGTCAACATAACATTGAAATTAATGCTCTTTACCCGAAGACAAGAAAGCATTAACAGTTCTCAGAAGCTCACTTTGTATGCAGTCATATTCGATAAACATGGAAATGTGTTGATTGGTCCACAAGGCAGTCTGCCAAATCGAAAAATAACCAGTTCCTTTATCGAGGGCGTAAGGGAACGCATGCTTTACTCTCATGTTTCTAGATGCTAATTAATTCTAGTCATTAACTGAGGTTTTCAACAGCTCGCATCCAATATTTCTGTGGATATTTAGAGCAGCGAAAAATTGGCACTGTGTTAAAGATATCATTCCGGCAATGCGCCTCAATATCAGCGCTCACATTGAAAAGCATAATCTCAAGGGTAGAGAGGAAGTTAGTCTTGTAGATTACGATGGCGATTTAATCAAGGATTATTCTATTGTGTTTCGAGAGCTTTTCTGCATTGCAGCCGCTGATCTTGCAAATGATCTTCGTATACCCATGGAAAAACTAGGGCCTTTGTACGACGATGTCATTGGTACCGGGCAGAAGATTCCATTGTCAGCAATCATTAAATCTCGTATTGCTATATTAAGTGACTTGATAGAAAAAACAATTGGGGATATCCAACACAAGATCAAAGGTGGCCGTCGCGCCATTAGAAGGCCGAGGAAAGACGTCGAAAAAGATGCAGGAGCAGGAACCGGTCAACTACTTTTTCTTGTCAAGAAATTCCAGCGACGTGAAGCAGAGGCTTTGCAAGCAGCGGGGTATCGGTTTGGGAAGATTGAACAAGTTCTATCACTACTATCAAACACCATGAAGATTAAGAATGAAGATCTTACCAAGCATCTCTCGGAATTGTGGAAGTTTGCAAATCAGGATGAGATTTTAGATCCAGGATGTCATCTTGCATGCTTTGCAATTCGAGCTTCCGTCCGAGGAGGATTTGATATTGTTGTTAGGAAAGATGCTAAAAGTCAGCTCCCGACTATGACCTTGCCTTTCGACTCACTGGAGCAATGGCAGATGGACTTTTTGAACGCAATGAACACCCTCAATGTAACAGAATGTCAACGGTTCTTGTCCAAAGCAGTCAAAGCAAAAGAGCTACCTACAAGGGAGAAGACATTTTCCAATCAACTGCTTACCACGCTCCAATCGTTGAAACACGAAATCGGCGATCCCATCTTCAGTGAAGCATGCCTTATATCCAAACCAATTGAGGCTCCATGCCGTGGAGCTTCCGCAAACCATAGGCCTGGAGTAGGACTTCTCATCGCTTTCCGGCTCATGGTACCCATCAATACTCGTCGTGCGCCAGGAAAGAAATGCACGTTTGCGCCACTCACCCTTTTTAAATTGCAACAACGTGTTTACAAAAATTCTTTAGATCATTCTTTTTTCGTGCGTGCAATATATCGAGAGTTCTCACCGATTTTTGCAGCAACTTTTCGTGATAGGTCACAAGACAAGAGACTCCTATCACAATGGAGACCTGCAAAGTCTGGCGAAGAGTTCAAAGTCGAAGTAGTGGAGGAACATGATCCGTTTGGAAATCTTATCACTAGAATCAGGCCCAGCAGGGAGTTGCAATCACGGCCTACTATGGAACGATTGAAAACACTCTGGGATGTAAGTCTCGGCCGCTCTAAAGACGAAAATGGTTCTAGTGATAGACCAAAACCAATACGAGCGGCTTCGTATCAATCCATGGGGATCTTGGTCAGTACGGAAGTTGAGAGAGATGTGAAGCTTAGCTCGGATAAAAAGAATAATGGAAAAGGGAGAGGCTTCGAGGCTAAGCAAGGGAATAGGGGGGTCACGGCGGTAGTTACTGAAGATGTTGAGCCGCTGACGTTTGTGGATGAATTGTTTCAAATTTGTGTTAAGAATACGGGGATGCCTCATTGATTAGTTGGAGGAACTGAGAAAGGGGAAGATGGGATGTTCGGATAAATGGACTTATGCATATCTTTTGTATTGTGGTACTACTAGATCAGACTAGATTGCGCTTTTAGGCGTGAGGTTGGATCGAAATTGTTATTATACCTTGGTAGTTTTTATGAATAGAGACCTATGATTTTTGGAACTTCGATTATAGATTGAAGGCATCAATCTTTATTCCTCCTAAGGATATGGATTTATGTATTGGTGCATTTTACGATGAAATGAGATATAATGGCCATGTTCTCGCGAGATTACGGATAAAGTATCCAGAGTTGGTATACCCCCTCTTTATTACAATGGTGGAAAAGAGGCATTTTTATTAGTGTCAGGGAAACATCATTTCAATATCATCGAGTACTGAAAAGTGATTCATCAAATACAGCTAGTATAAATATATAGTACTAAGTAGAGGATGTATGTTCATCGTGAGTGGACTCCACATGGCAGGCTCAGGTGAATCGGGGTTTACAATGTGATTTGAATAAGCACCCAAGTAGAGTTTTGGAAGGAAACAAAGAAATGGGAGGATGGGCTAGTTAATTGATGTATCCAAGTTAGGAAGTAGAGGGTATGAAGATTGGGGCATTAGGAGGCATTGATGTGTAGAGTAGAGGTGAGTATTAAGATGTAAGTTGGGGGGAGGGGATGATGGTATGTTGATCTTGATGGGGATGGTTGGATGGATTGGTATTTTAAGGAGGTGTGTAATGGATGAGTTTGGGTTTGGTGGATGAATGGATGAATAGGTTGGATGGATGGATGGATGGATGGGTGGGTGGGTTGGATGGATTGGAAAGAAGAATATTATCTAGCATCTACTAGATTGAGGAGAAGAAATGTGTATAGAATTACTGATGGTGAATAGCACGAATATCATGATGAAACTGATTGAAAGTTACAAAGTCCTAGTATTTAGTTGGATTGGGAGAGCGCCATTATTGAGAAGTCAACATGTGCATCGTTACATTAAAACACTATTTATTGATGAAGTATACAAAACTTTGCATGGAGAAACTTTATTGGATTGAATAAGTAAGTATATAAATCAAAGGAAAATTCTCAACTTTGAATACAAGATTTAAGCCCAGTAATCATCATCGTCATCATCAGGAAGGTAATTCGCCACTGCTCGGACAGCAGCTTTTCGAACAGTACTCTTAGGAACAAATGGGGTTCTTTTGGGTACTCCTTTTTTCGTACTGTGTTTGTTTGCTATATGGCTTGCACATGACCCTTTTTTCATATAACCACCTTGCTTTTCATTACAATATGAACAGAACCATGGAAGAGCGCCAACTGATGATAATTTTGGTGCTGGCGACGCCTTTACAGAACGAGATGGTCGAGGGGGTGGGCGAGAGCGAGCGTTTGCTTTTGGAGGGGCTACCTCCTGCACAGAGTCATCAGAATCCTGATCAACATCTTCTCCAGGACGCAATGCTTTGTACGCTTCCTGATATCCCGAACTCTTTATGGTCATTCCATACACGGCATTTCGAGGTTTACGAGTGCTAGGCGATTTGTAATCATCATCTATGGCTCTCCCTGCGCCACCAAGAGGAGGATTCATTAAACCCAAGTGTCCATCTTTTTTGCCCTGTTTTTCGTCGAATTTACGTATCATCTCCGCTACACTTCGCAACTCCTTTTTTGTTTCTTCATAGCCTCCTCCATGCGCCACAAGGTGTATTCCCTGTTCTTCCAAATCTCGATAATATCTCCAGCCCGCAAGAGGAATTTCATCCTTTTTCACAAGATCGCCCTGCCACCAAGCATAGTCTTCCCACGGAAATGGCTCCCACCAAAACTCAAGTTCTCGAACAAGATGTGTCGAGTCATTCCAAGTAATTTGGTATTCACCATTAACAGCAATTTGCGGATCGAGTCGTGGATTCAGTCTTTTCTTTTTGGCTTCAGCTGCCTTTATTTCCCCAAGGTCTCGCGTTTCCTGCCTATATTGTTGTTTTGTTGGATTTGTTTCCCTCTCCAGCCGGTCCCAATAGGCTCGCCGCTCTCTCGCTTCCTCTTCCTCCTTGGCTTTGGCCTCTTCCCTCTTTTGTTTTTCCCTCTCTTGTCTTTCTCTCTCTTGTCTTTCCCTCTCTTGTCTTTCTCTCTCTTGTCTTTCCCTCTCTTGTCTCTCCTTCTCTTGCCTCTCCTTCTCTTTTTCCTTCTCATCTTGTGGCTGATTCTCCTTTGCCCCCTTCCGCATTGCCAATGCTTGAGCTGACCATGAAAATGCTTGTGGTATCCTCCCATGCGTACTCTGGATAAAATCATAAAAGGCTTTGCCCTCTGGCGGAAGATTCGCTTTCTCAAAGAGCGCACCCTTCCACCAAGCCCGATCCCTCCAAAACATGGGTTGGTTGTCAAGTTTCTCTACGGTGATGTTCATACCAGCATATTTAACTTGGAAAGAAGGATCGCCGCGTATTCGCGGGTCCTCTTCAATAGCGATGTTTGGATCCAAATCAAATTTGTACGGCTGAGCTCCTGCTGGAGAATTTGAAGCTCCAGAAGGTTTGTCTGTATCTCCCGGTGGTGGAATGTTCTTGTCTTTATTGCTATCAATATCCATTGGTTGAACACCACCTTCTTGGGCCGCAGCTATGTCTGGGGTATTCGCTCTGTGAGGTGATGCAGGACGGGCTCTTTTACGGCTTCTCTCTTCAACAGGCTCAGGAGATCGATCACGTTTACGAGCAGGTGGAGGCAGCAGTGTCTGTTCTCCCTCTTCACCACTAACGGCTGCCTTCTTTCGTGCTATATCCGCAGCTATTTTAGCTCTCTTCTCTGCACGTTGTTTGGCTATTCTACGGTCTTCTTCTTCTTCCTCTTCAATTTGAAGACGGAGTTCCTCTGCTTCAGCAGTTTCAATATCAATCAGTGTCTGCTTTCTGGCCACTTCTGCGGCCTCTGCTTGTTTCTGTATCTCGATTTGTCTCTCATATTCTAATCGTTGTTTCTCTCTCGCCTGCTGACTCTTCGTGCTGTCGGGAAATAGGAAGAAGCGTTTAATCCATTTATCCGCTCTGGCTCGCAACGTCTCAGGCTGATCTGCGGGCGGCTTGTATACCTTGAGGTTCAGGTCTGAGGGAGTGTAGTCATTAGGTTGCAATTCTTCCTGTGGTTCAAGAATTACGGCAGGATCACCCGGATTATATCGCACTTCTCCTGGCATACGTTGTCTGTCAACGAGATTCAATGCCTTGGCACTCAATGCTTGGAGTTCCTTTGCATCAATTCGATCCCCGGGGTGATATGCGAGGCATTGTAGAATTGTCCTAATAAGCGCTTTCGAATACTCTTGTTGTGTTGCAATAGGCTCTGTTATTAGATCTGCACCAAAATAAAGCTTCAGTCCTTGATCAGTAGGCGAATCTGAGATGCCAATGTTCCAAGCACTTTCCCCGAGTTCTTTGCCTGTTATCATGTAATATAGCAGCGCACCTATTCCAAAAATATTACAAGCTGTACCAATGCTACGTCTCTCCATGCCGGGATATTTTTGCTCCTAATAAAAGTGTAAGCGCGGGATCTCGTCATCAGGTGGTAATCACAAACCGGAGTTGCCCATTTTGGATCAGCACGTCCTCGGATACGAAACATCCATATCTTATCCATAGGATCGCTGGGAACTACTGCTGCCTTTTCAAATTTCCCAAGCTATAATCAAATTAGCGCCATTCCTTCACATGAATGCTTTTACGTACTAAAAATTTCATACCATTGCAGTGCTCTTCATTCGCAGGGCTCATTGCACAAAATACTAGATGACTTAATGCCGTGACTGCGTCAAAAGAGAATGAAATGCTTACTACTTTCTGGTCTTATATCGAGATGAACAACTGATTGATATTGTGCTCGTATTTCATGATTTGCATTGGTCGTATGACCGTGTTCTAGTTTCATACAGATATTCGCCATACAACCTATGACGCTCCATAGATCATTCTCTGAAAGATATTGTTCGCTAGGAAGACTGATTAGAGAGTGGAAAGACTACTAATTCAAAAGACTTACCCAAAATTGTTCTCTAGCCACTGACTGAGGTTTCCTTGTTCATAGTAGGTTGCGTATGTCCTTCCCACTGTTTCCGGGGCAAACTCGTGAACATACGCGGGATCGAAGGTATCATCTGCACCAGTACCCGCGTCTTCTTCGTATGATCTAATCGGTAGAATTATATGATCGGCATCGAGAACAGATTTTCCTCGTACGTGATCGAGCATGGACGCACCATTTTGTAGCCTTGCTTTTGCTTCAGGGCTGGATGCTTGCTTTACAACAACTCTATCGTAACGTACACTATGACCATGGTTATCCATAACCCCTTTCTTGAAGACCGCAACGCCCTTTCCTAAAAGTTTGTCCGGCAACCATCTAAATCCGGGCAAAGCATTGGCGGCCGCATTGATATTCCATCCATAAACACGGTTTATCCATTCCTCTCCTCGTTTCTGATCCTTTTCAAAATTGGAGAATTTCTCCCACTCTTCAATGGTTGGAGGTTTCCTTACACCTCTGAAGCCTCCCGGCTCAAATCTATTGGGAGCACTGGCAGCCATATCTTTGCGCGAATCTAGAAGAAAAGTTAAAGTGCGAGCTTCCCTCTTGGATATTTTTAAAGAGCCATCGATAATGAAATTGATATTGCCCATCCATTATGGCAAAGCAATGAAAATTCAGCGAACAAAGGTCTTGAACTTGAAAGAAAGAAAGAAAGAAAGACTTCTCTTTTCTTTACATTGCGATCCCAACCCGCGTTAGGAAATTTCAACAAGGAGGCAGAAGTTTGCCGAACAAGAAATTCCACCGGAATTGGATGAATTCCAAGCAGTGTCCATTTTTCTTGGTTAATTTTCGTTTGATGAGCATAACTAGCAATATTTGATTGGTGGACTCAAACTTTCAGACTAATTGAAGTACACTTCATGGACTATACTTTGCTCGCACGTTGTATCCCAGTTTGGATAAGTACAAACACTCGCCGTGCCAGAACCTTGCGTTGCGTTCGAGCAAGAGAAATTGTTTGTTCTGAATCTGGTTTCATCTCGACATACGCACTCGCAGTACATGAAAGGACAAATAAAGACGTAATATGATATCAATTCAAGTCAAAAGTGCGTTTGTAAAGAAGGGTTGAAAAGTTGTAGTTGAGTTGAGGTCTTCGTGGAGTTTACAACGCTATTCTGAATGGGGTTAGTGTTCGACGAGTGATCTGATTGGACTTATCGAGGGCCATTTCCACTGAGAAGGCAGGTATCATTGTTCTATCTCGTGACATGCCATTTCTACCTCTGAAGTAATATTTGCTCCACTTGCTATTGTATAATCTTCTGGAATTGGGTTTGTTCATTAAGTACTAGGTAGACTTTAAATTACTATTACTCCCCACCGAAACCCAATCATCAGAATTACCAGCGCAAAGATCAACCCCGTGGAAACAAAATATCATCAAACTCATTAACCCGATCCCTCACCCAACAATCCTACATCTGTGCTGTTCAAACTAAACTTGTACTTCGCCTCCAAAACATATGGGCCATCTTCCGGACCCCAGATTTGTTTTCTACCCCATTCAGGTTGATTGATTCCATCAATCCAGTCCTCGACTTCCATGACTACACATCCATATTGCTGGATTGTACGTGGCCTATCTGAGACATTGAAAAGTCCTTGAGTTTCTTTAAGAGCCATGGATCCGTTTTGTCCTCCGCAGGAATATACTTGGAAAGCGTCTTGGTCGCTGTAGACATCGACTTGGATACCGGACCAAGCGGAACGGAGACGTGCAACGGGGGATGTGTGCCATGCAGAACGAGTGGGTGGATCACGGTTGGTAATATAGGCTGTGTCATAGCCGGTACAGTTTGCGCCACAGTTACCTAGTAAATCTGGGTTGGAAAAGTTGGCTCCGATTTGTTTTGGAGTGCTCCAGAAATCGTTGAGTGATTGGGGTTGATTTGCGATGATGTCTCCAGTTGGGATGAGGATACTGTCTGTACCAATACGTTGTCCACCGTATGGTAGATATAGAGAGTGGTTGAGAGCAGTAGCTGTCTCGTTGTTGGCGAAGCCATCGAGGTTCCAGTATGTCTGTTGATATGTTAGTCATTCGTCAAAGAAAACAACAAAATAGTTTGGAACAGAAATGAACTACATACGTGCGAACTCAACATAATAGGAGTCTTCTTGGTGGTAGCAATAGCAATCATCTTGAATGACCAGGTCATATTAGTCAAAGTGTACGTGACATAACTAACAACCTCTCCTGGAAATCCTTGTTCTCCATCTGGATCTGTGATTCTCAACATTAGCAAGTATGTAAATCAGAAACCCAAAATTATACACAAACTTACCCGTCAAACTAAAAGTAATGGAACTCGTGGTATGAGCAACCACAGTCCAATTTCTCCAATCCCAACCATCTGGACCACCATGCAGCGTATCAACTCCCGCCGGGTTATCCGCTGTCGGATTTTCATTCGGCAACACATTATATGTCTCTCCATCAATAACAAAACTCGAGTTCTTGATACGATTTGCGTATCTTCCCGGTACACCACCAAAATGAGGATGTTGTCTATCTACTCCATAATAGCTCGCATTATCGAAACCTCCGACGATATCACGTTCGATACCCGAGGTATCGTTGATGAAGAGATTGGAGATGGATGCACCATAGGCAATGAAGTTTGCACGGATACCCGGAGCAGAGAGCTCATATTTGCCATTGGCGTCGGGACCGAGGGAAGACCCCGCGATAGTGCTATTTCCAGCTACTCCGGTGTAAGATTGTCCGGGAGATTGAGCTGCAGTCAGGCCTGCTAGCGCGCCAAAGAGCACTGTCGATATCATTTTGATTGACATCATATTGTAGAGCTGTTCTACTGGGAAACAAATGTTCAATTGGATGTGGAAGTAAAAGATCCGAAGCGGTGTCGCTGCGATGAAGGGGTAACGTTGGTGATGAAAAAGACGATGTTGTTTTCGGGGGGAGAGGTTTTAAGGATACAAGACTATATCGATTAAGCCGTAGATCGCCGTCTCCACAGTGAATATAAAAGTCGGGGTTTCTGGGGTATAATGATCATCCAGTCATCCGGCTATCTTAAGAGTGAATGATCAAAGAAGCTTCCAGTTGATGAAATCCTCAATTGACCCAACGTCGACTGTGCACAGGATCCTTTCTCGTAGCGTTGCCTCGTCGTACTAGAATCACACGTCAATCCACGAACAATCAACAAAGCAAAAGTTTTAACAGCTCATCCCGAAATACGAGGGGGAACTACAACTCTTATATCGCATTGATACCCCAGCTATATGGTAACTGCCCCGCATGCATCTAACTACCTAGGTACATCTACGTCTACCTGTCCATAATACTACATATTTCTCCATACACTAGCATGCAGTGAAAGCTAATCCCAGACAATCCACCTCTTCCACTCATTCAATTCGTTAATTCACCATTTCCTCCGACCAAATGATGCGGGGATATAATCGCTCACCTTGTACTGCAGCTGGTCGGTCAAAAGACAGACGTAGGACTAACCGTTTAAACTTTCCTCTCTCCGAAGTTCCCAGCCTGCTGCTATAAAACCTTTCCCCGGATCCCGAAATATCAATACATAAACAAGTTCCTATTTAGCCATATAAATGAATTCCAGGTACAATCCTTGGCTTACCATGAAATCCTCACGTAAAAGCTTGACTCCTTCTCCTCGTCCCTGCTCATCCCAATTCTAAGTTTCCATGACGTCCCAATTCCAAGATTGTGAGTGGTGCGTTTAAACTTCCTCCCGCCATCTTTGTACTGCTTACTGGCCATCCTCGGCACTAAAGAATGCGGGGTTTGCCCAACCTTGTATCGCGATACTGGGGACCCCAGATCACGCCAGCTACCAATAATACAAGTAGATTATAGAGAAGCTTTCATCCGTATATCTGAATGGCCAGCATTCTGTTGACATATCCGTTGGTATATTATTGACCTGAAGCTTGTATCTCCGCATCTCTTCCCCTGTACCATTCGCGCGCATAAACTACCCATATTTCATTTCTACTCTCCACGGAAAATCTTCTGACCGATAGGCCAACGCGATCCAACAATTTGCACCCCATATGTTATGTTCCTAGATATGCAGGTATGCGTTCATATACAAGGTTGTTATTGATGTTGTATCGCATGAGCGTCGTACCACACCAGCTTACCTTATAATTGGAATAATGGACGAGACGAGTGAGCTTTAGTTACAATAGCACCCGCAGTAAATTCTACATCAAATATGCACATAGCAAAATGGACTCTTGTTTCAAAGATTCCTTGTAATCCACCGCTTCGATTACCATTCTTCATAATATTTACACAAGCGCGCTCCATTCAAAGCAAAGGATTCCCGAGAGATATATTTGACAAGACTAAACACGCTCCTACACACTTCTAGAACTAACTCTCCACTACGCATCACCACCCAGCATGTTTATGCTCATGCATCAATCAAATTCTCCTCTTGCGCATCCTTCGCCTTTCTTTCCTCACTGTTGTCCTTCGTGTCCTTGTTGCCAGCACGTCCCTTGCCCTTACGGTCAGTTGCAGATCGTTGGTAAAACTCAGCCAAAACCTTTTGTGGGATACGGTTGAGCAATTCCTTGGGGTAAATGCGGAGTAAACTCCATGCTTGATCGAGAGATTCATAGATGGTTCTGGATTCGTAGGCAGATTGTGAAATGAAAGTACGTTCGAACTTCTCCAAAAACTCCAAAGATAGTTTATCTTCTGAAGACAAGGCCTCTTCACCAACAACAGCCTTCATTGATGCTGCGTCACGACCAATGGCATATTTAGCGTACAACTGGTTAGAAACATCACCATGATCCTTTCTAGTGAGCTTCTCTCCGATGGCAGACTTCATAAGACGCGAGAGCGATGGCAAAACGTTGATAGGTGGGTAAATACCACGGTTGTGCAATTGACGATCGATGAAAATTTGTCCCTCAGTAATATAACCAGTCAAATCGGGAATTGGGTGAGTAATATCGTCGTTAGGCATAGTCAAGATAGGAATTTGAGTAATGGATCCGTTTCGACCTTGGACACGGCCGGCACGTTCATAGATGGTGGACAAATCCGTGTACATGTAACCTGGGTATCCACGACGACCGGGTACTTCTTCACGAGCAGCTGAAACCTCACGAAGGGCATCACAGTATGCGGTCAAATCAGTAAGAATAACCAAACAATGCTTCTCCAATTGGTAGGCGTAGTATTCGGCGGTGGTAAGGGCAAGACGAGGAGTAATGATACGTTCAATCCTATGAAACATTAGTCTGGTGGCCTACAGTGACAGAATAATATGGCACTTACGTAGGATCGTTAGCCAAATTCAAGAAGAGAGTGACACGCTCAAGACTTCCGTTCTCTTCGAAATCCCGGGTGAAGAAACGTGCAGTTTCCAAGTTGACACCCATAGCTGCGAAAACAATGGAGAAGTTCTCCTCATGTCCATCATGTGTGCCTTTGTTTGTGACACCTTGTTTCTGAACCAAACCAGCTTGTCTACAAATTTGAGCCGCGATTTCGTTATGTGGTAAACCAGCAGCAGAGAAAATAGGGATCTTTTGTCCACGAGCAATGGAGTTCATTGTATCGATAGCAGAGATACCAGTTGAAATCATTTCTTCGGGGTAAACCTAATATAGATCAGCCAAGAATGCGAAATACAACCTGCTAGACATACTCTTGAATATGGGTTGATAGGACTTCCGTTAATGTCCAAATAATCTTCCGCCAACACCTTTGGTCCCTTATCAATCGCTCTTCCAGATCCATCGAAGATTCGACCCAACATGTCCTCCGAAACACCGAGTTTCAGACTGTGTCCTGTGAATTCGACAGTAGACTATCAAATCATTAGCAATAGTCGCAGATATGGCCTCAAGAACATTGCCATACCTTCTTCACATCGATACCGTGAGTGCCCTCGAAAACCTAGCCGCTGATTAGTTTAAACTGTTGGTTTACGTCGGATTCTCAATTTTGTACTTGGACAACTGCTCGATCACCTGTAGATTTATAGAATTAGCCAGTAGATCAAAATGATCAATGGCACAAGTACCACATACCTCTAGCTTCCAACACTTGTCCTGACCTCTGCGTGCCATCAGGTAGCGTCAAGCTAACAATCTCATTGTATCTTGGGAATTTGACCTGCGACATTATCAGAACACACTCAAGAATCCCATAGCCATCGTCCTCCACACTCACATTCTCCAAAATAACCAAGGGACCATTGATACCACCGATAGTGTTATACCTGATTCGAGGCGTAACACTGTACGACGACGACTCTCTTGGATCTCCCATTGTGGCGATTTGGCGTGCGATTTATTCGAGTTGTGAAAAGAGAAATTAAAGAGATATGCTTCCGCTCATAAGAAGCTCCAGCGATGGTTATGCTCGTTGGTTTCGTAGATGACGAGCTTGGTTTGTTTGAGAGGTTGGAGAGCTTGAGATGCTTCAAAGTGGAGCTTAGCTTGTTTGAATCGAGGCAATTGCGATAAGCGACCAATTCGACTAATATCACGTGATTAGATCGCTCCTGGCGGCAAGCCGAAGTGCCAAGTTCTCTCTTCATTTGGTTTAAGGTATCAATGAAAAAGCAGTTTAAAGTACGCAGTAAAGGCTATGTATATTCATCTGAGGTCGTCATATCACTCAGGAAGTGGTATGGCAGTAAGCAATGCTATGCAGGCACTATTCACAATCTTGCTCCGTTTTTCCCAATTCCCACCGAACGCCAGTCCTCCCATCTCAATTTGTCATGGAAGGATTTGAACCCTCTGAATGTACCCACCGCGTTAGTTATGAACATCATTTACGACTTCTTGCCCCAATCACTGCCTTCCCGACACTACTTGCATTCGGCTTCCCGATTTCCCCAGTAATCCATTGTCCGATATCAGCCAATGCATCTAAATCAACACCAGTCTGCATCCCCATACTCTCTAATAAGTACACCATATCTTCCGTGGCTACATTTCCAGTGGCCCCAGGACTATACGGACACCCGCCTAGCCCCCCAACACTACTATCGAAAGTTCTGATACCATGCTCCAAGCTCACAACTGTGTTGATCAACGCCTGTCCATATGTGTCATGAAAGTGCATCGCGATATCTTCATTCAATATTCCCGCTGATTGCATGGTACGTAAAAGTTTTTGAGTCTTAGGTCCTGTACCCATTCCAGTTGTATCTCCAAGATCAATCTCATCCGCTCCCATTTCTAATAATTCTGTCGCTATTTCCGCCACTCGGTGGGGATCTACATTATCGCCTTCGAACGGACAACCCAGAACGACTGATATGTAGGCGCGAACTCGCATTCCAGCTGCCTTTGCACCTTGTATGACTTCTTCAAATCGTTTTAATGATGTAGCGATGTCACAATTAAGATTCCTTTGTGAAAAAGACTCGGTTGCTGCTGCGAAAACGGCCATCTCGATATATGGCTTATTGGGAGACGACTTGAGATCCTCCTGACCATCATCAAGAGGAACATCGGCAGTATTGTATGCATCTCGATTTTGAGACAGAATATTCAGGGCTTTATCAAGACCCTTCCTATTGGGTGCCAGGAAAGAGTATCTGAGTGGACCGGTCGATTGATTATGCTTTTGGAGAACATGCTCGAGAATCTCACTCGCATCTGCCATCTGCCAAAATCCTACAGTCAGTTACCGTTGATCTAGCTTTCAGGACTCAGCTTACTTGTGGCACCCATTTCGGCGCAACGAAAGAACCAGCTTCAATATCCTGCAAACCCGTCTTTGCAAGCTTTTCAATCAAGCTTATTTTCGTCGCCAAAGGTATAATTGTTTTCTCATTCTGTAAACCATCTCTGGGTCCAACTTCCACTAATTTTACCCGATTGTCACCATGTTGTTGATTCCCATTTGTTTCACCTACCAGAGGATCGACTGCTGTTGCGAGACGTCGCAATTGATGAAGCTTTAAGCTAGCATTTCGGCGTTGAAATATGCGCCGTGATAACATCATGAATAAAGTTGCATTGTTCAATTTACTTATTACAGGTTCTGTTTTTGAAGTAGAGCTTGATGGTTCATCTGGGGAATTGTGCGGGGAGAGCTCAATACATGGGCCGATGTTTAGCCGCCTGCCTTCTGGTATGGAACAGCCAATAGTGAAGAGACGCCTGACATTTCACCCCCCATAATATTCCGTGAATAACCGTCCAGTCCCCCGAGCACCTTTTGATTCTAACATTACTCGTATTTTCATTGCAATATGGAATGGCCTCTCTATTGACGAATAATGTACGCAGACGTGAATTATCCTCGACTTTGGGATGTTTGATCCCCCTTCATTAGATCTGCTATCAGACGAGCTCAGTACCGGATGTCTCTCGTTTTGATTCACACATAACATGTACAACAGCGAGTGATATCAATTTTAAAAAGGTATAAAAGTTCTATTTTCCATTTCCCATATTCATTAACTATAGCTAAACGCTTCAAAGTATCTCAAGAAACTCCCCCAAAAATTTATCCAATCACCCATTACATCATAGCCGCACCATCGATACCGATAACCTTTCCATTAACCCACTCACCATCTTGACTCGCCAAGAAGCAAACAACTCTCGCAATATCGATGGGAAGACCGACTCTGTGGAGTGGCGACCAGGTAGCGGCATATTCATCGACTTCATCATCACTAAGGCTGGCACCGTTGGGAATATATTCACGGCAAACTTTGTGGTACATGTCGGTACGGATTCCACCTGGTGCAATGCAGTTGACGGTAATCTTCTTGTCACCAAAGTCTGAAGGATTGTTAGTACGGTGCTTGGTGTATGGAAGAAGAGACAAAAGATAGACATACCAATAGCCATGCAGCGGACGAAAGTCTCAATAGCACCCTTGGAACCAGAGTAGACAGTGTGTTGAGGAACACCCTTAGCTTGACCAGTGATGGAACCCATCATGATCAAACGACCTCCAACCTCCAAATTCTTGTAAGCCTCTCTGGCAACGAAGAATTGACCTCTGGTGTTGATGTTCATGACACGATCGTATTCCTCCTCAGTAACATCCTTGATATGCCCAAAGGTAACGACACCAGAGTTGGAGCAAACAATGTCGAGTTTACCCCATTGCTTCTTGGCTTGAGCAAAAAGTTTGATGATATCAGAGACGATGGAAACATTTCCTTGGAGGGCAACTGCCTCGGAACCGGCCTTCTTGATAGTGTTGACGACTTCTTGGGCAGCGGCATCGGAGTTGGCGTAGTTTACGATGACCTTTGCACCGCGGCGACCGAGCTCACAGGCCATTTCGGCACCGATACCACGACCTGGTTTGTAATGTTAGAATAGAATTCGAGAAGGAAAAGCAAAGATCACATACCTGATCCAGTAACCAAAGCAACTTTGCCCTTCAAGCTGGCACTCTCGATACCGAGAGGTCCTGAAACCTTGGTGTAGTCAACCTTCTCCTTAGTGCCATTGGTGGCTCCGTTTGATCCGTTTGTAGCAGACATTTTGATTGGTGTTTTGGGAGGTTGGGTTTGTAAAAAAGTATGTGAATGAAATGGGTGTTAAGAGTATTGCAAGATTAAAGAAGAAGACAATGAAGTAAAAATGATGACAATAAAACAACTACTTCCTGAGAATTTACGGTCTCTATATATCATTTTCGTGCAGGTAAAAATATCAGCAAAACAAGTCAAGTGAAGTCAAAGCAGACCTAAGGTAAGCCGTCACCTCAATGCGCAAACACAAGGATTGTCACTTTCCATATCTGATCTCGCTCTATTCAAAGTCCGTGAGAAGCGAGCTTGCGAATAAGACTATAATTTCCTGCATATTACAAAGTGTCCGTAGAACAGCGATGATCGTGCTGGACGTGCTGATACATATGCGATGCGAAGAATGGTATGGCTTGTAGTGTCAAAGTTTGGATGGTTTTGCGGCTGATGTAGCGGATCCGAGATCAGATGTTGTGCCGCTATACCGAAATAGTGAAGTAGTTTACGGACTTCCAGCCTCGAATTGATAGATGGTGAGGTGAGATTTCAATCATACAGCCATGGCATATTGTCGCTGGGGAAGTGATGATACAAGATGTAATCAGCTCGGCTTTTCCATATTGCACATCGAACCTCGGTTACCTTGCAAACGCCCCTTCATCAATGCGAACAAGATAATTTGGTTATTGGATACCCATAGACTGACTATCTGTAGACTAGAAAAGAGTATACAACTGTCAATATCGTGTACTGAATAAAAACAAAATAAAACTCCATTTTTCCAGTAGGGTCAAAGATAGAAGTTAGCGGGGGACGATCATAGTCCGTGCATGCGTCCATCCCCATATCTATTATCCAATAATCAAGCTAATCAATGTTTCATGCATCAAGACCTTCTCTTTGGCTCTTCAAAATTCAAATGGCTTGGTTTGGGTCAAACGCCCACACCATCCTGTGGGGTTGTCCGATCAATTGAAGTTATGACAAGCACCACGCACTATACACTACTCGGATACACACGACTCGGATTGTTTGTCAAACGCGAAGACCGAAACCGAAAGAGAAAGAGAGGAAATAGAAGAGGTATGTTTCATGAGATGGCAATTTTGATGATGTTTGTTGTGATTTGGAACTATTTTTCTTGCGATGCTATATTCCATCATGTTTATTTGCAAGTTGAAATGAGGGAATCGTCGAGCTCCTCTATTCTAGACTTTCATCAATAGCTGCAATTCCTCAAAACTCATGTCCATCATCTTCGATCTTTCGATACCAGAGGTTGTGGTTCAACACAAAATATGAAGGCTCCGACTGTCTAACTTAGTCTATGAACATGGTATAGGTAGATGCAAAGCCAAAGAGCTCGAATCGTGATATATCGGGCTCCGTGTGCTCGTGTCATCAGCACCTAAATGCTCCGTAGTCTTGAATGATCCGAGCCCACGTCCACGTCCATTAGCACGGCCCTGCGCTCCGGGAGCTAAGTACTATGCACGCGACGGGATTCGCGCTTTCGTCTTCTAGAAGGCTGTAAGCTCTAGGTAATCAGAAAACTTCTTTCATTCCGTTGACTTTGTGCTCTTCCGTATTTGAACTTGGCAATGCTCGGCGATGCTGGGCGGTGGGAATTACCACGTGACGTGTGTCTTGGAGGACATTCAAGCGGATTCCTGGGCATCTGAAGCTGTGTTTATGACAGTTAGACGACGTGTAAATCGTTTCATTTCCAAACTTTGAAGTAGTGTGTTGTTGAAACTTCGTATAACTGATGGCTCTTGATATATTGTGAAATCTGGCTGACGCGTCTCGTAAAAGCGAGCTTTAGCCCGATTACTCGGGGAAGTCTTAACTGGTGCCTGTCGCTCCTCTTCAATGATTGCGATTTCGATCGTGCAAGGCTATATTGAAGGAATAGATCACCCACAACGTTATCGGTTGGTATCACCGTAGACGCGTTGGCGACACAACCGTCGTACGATGATACACATCGCGGCAATTCTGTCAAACAGGACACATAGGTTCAATTTGACGTAGAGAAACAGAATCTAATAAATAAATAGTGTATTTTTGGTATCGTAATGTAGAACCAATCAGATATCCTAGTGCTGGTATAAAGGAGTATGAAGAATAAATCCGTCTTCATGCGCTTTTGAGAATTCCCACCCATGGCCCATTTCCCCCAGAAAGAAGTCCCGTGATTGTTCATGTTTCGCTCGGGAAGGGCTTTCTACCCCATACAACATAACTACAAAGATTAGCATGGCATGATTTATGTGAAGACTAGAACTCACATAGGAATATATGCGTGAACATTCCTGTTCCTCCCAGATTCCTTTGCGCTGGAAAGTAATTCCTTGACCTCTGCCTCATTCATATTTGATCCCTCTACCAAAGTCCGCGTGGTTGAATACAACCATCGCTTTATGTCCTTTTGCATCATTACACCGATTCTCTTCTCTTTTGCCCCTATCGGCCAATCATTTATCGGATTGTGGTAGATTGTCTCTGTTACCTCTTCGAACCCAATATCTTCCAACCACTCCATGTATTTTGAAATGTTAGTCCAAGGTCTATTGCCGGCCTCGGCCGCTTCAACACATGCTTCGAACCATTTGGTAATTGCACTGTTTTCCATTGAGTCGTCAATGGCATCTAGCGGCAGTTTCGCATCAAGAATCTGGAAATAACCGCCAGGCTCAAGGGCATTATAAGCCGACCTGAAGACCTCTTTCTGGTCACTGAAACACATCATCAGATCACGCATGTGAATGAAGTCAAATTTGTGTGGAAAATCCCATGTTTCCTCGGCATCAGCAACAACAAATTTGCAATTTTCGGGTTTACTGTCATATACTCAGCCAAGCCTCACTAGTGTTGAAGTATGAACTTACCTCTCACGTGTCGAAGGGCTAAGGTCGGTTCCAATGACTTGCGCATTTGGGAACTCAGTAGCTGTTCTGGTTAATTTTGAATTCTGGCAATCAAGCTTGACACTACTTACCAAATTCCACTGCCCAAATCCCATGTCCAGTCCCAACACTAAGCAGAAGTCAGTAATTGTAATTCATAGTTTTAAGATGGAGAGCCCCCCGATGATGTATCCGAGTGTAGCAAGACACAATCATAGGCGGGGTGATGGGCATCACGGGATTGAAAAATGATGGGCTTTACTAACTCTAGGACATGCTTCATCTCTTCCGAATTTATAGGTGCTAAGTATATTTTCTCATCCATCATAACTTTCAGCATCTGGTGCTGAAGATCTGGTCAAAGTGAGCTTCTATACAACAAAACAGACCCTCATGGATGATCAGAAGTTACTCACCTAATCTATCTTGTTCGAACTAGAAGAGTACATCTTTCAGCCAGGACATTCTTCGAGTTGGAGCACAACTCTTACCTTATCGATAGGTAATTTATATTCTACGAGGGTTGCGTTAATATCCTGCATCGTGCTATGTACGGAGAATAAGACACAGGACTTACTTGTATCTTTATCTTCATGAAACGTCCTCGTCGTATCCGCGCCATATTCTTCTTCACTATCGGAGTAATATGTATCGGCAACCTTGAAAGCATTAGTATGACCTGCATACATTATGTAGCTGAATAAATCCGTAGGCCACGAACTGCGGGATCAACTTCTAGCTCAACGGCCGTCGTTTCTGTAACCACAATATCAAACCCGGACATGATGGCGAGGTTTGTCTATATTTCGGATTAATGACTAAAACAGCGTGCAGAAGTAACTTTTTCGAGGGAAGACTTGATATGTATGAATGATATTGTGGATGCAAGAGTTTAAGAAGTTGACAATGTTTACCAAAGGTGGGATTTCTAGCCAATTTTGCAATGATTGGAGCAAGCGATGAAGATCCCCAAAATGAAAATATCGAATTCTAATTTCTCTTACTCCCACTTTACACACGCAGCAGAAATAGAGTTTGAAGCTTTTGTGGTTCTAGAACGCTACCGAGAAAAATATGTAAGACTGGCAACGGTACTGACCACTGCAAATGAGATCGAGAATCGGTACTGTACTATATATTAATCAATATTTGTGCCGTCTAGGGAGAGACGTAACTTCCCGTAACCCTAGTTCCGGGGATGTATTTCCTTGTACCCCATGGTTCAAATTCGGTACTTGGCGTGGGCACAACGGACGCTCAACTCAAGATGGGCCAATGTTTGTGTGATAGAGTCGTTGTTTGAGTCTGTGGGGATATAAACTAGTCATGTATAGACAGTCTAGATACATTACTGGCCCAAGTAGTGTGCTCCTAAACCGATCGAATTGTAGCCCTGAATATTGTTTGGCGATGAGTTACGACACAGTATCGGTATAGAAATTCAGTCCACGAGTCTACCAGCCCACCAGCCCATAGCACACTCACACTATATGAGTTGTGGGGGCTCGAAGTACCAATACATGTCGTGAAACCTGTATTACATGTACGGAGTAATAAGTATCTCAAAGTTGGGCACTAATAGTGGAATTTATTATATATCGTCTAACAAAGACATATAACTAGCCAATGCTATGTATGTATGGCTAACGCTAGGGCTAATGCAATATACCGGTAGCAAAACTTGATCAGCCATGCTCGAATTGTATGCACGAATGTAATACGAAATAGGACGATGGAGGCTCTAATAGATCTTGCATATTGTCAAATGTATGCAGCCTCAAACTATCTGCATATGAATCATCAGAGGCACCCAAACTTCTGATTGCTGTCAATTTTACGAGGATTTAATCATCTAATCGCATTAATCGCATTAAAGTCGTCTAATCCACTATGATTAACTCAATGAAGATAGAACTCATCTATCGGATTACTGCACGATGAAATTCTTCCAGGAGACACGGAATATACCCATCGTCAAAACTGTTAATAAAGAACTAAAAAATCCTGAATAAGTCCTTCATTTTTTTCTTCATCTACCAACACGGATGATACTTTGTACAAAATGCATCATCTCATGTTCCAGTCGGATTCAAGCTCCGATTGTGAGCAGGGCCGTCAGCTTCGATCACCCAATTTAAGGTAAAGCGCCACTATGCTGATTGCTTCCCGTCTTGTACCTGTTGAGTTCGCCTCATGCTCAATCAATATATGAACAACTTCACTCACGACCACGTACGTGGACAATACCATCGACTGTTTAATTGACTCTTGGCAACAAGGAAAATGTCAGGATGGATGCTTCCCTGTATAGGTCTTTGACGATTGATCAATACCAAACACGAGTCGTACATCTCCTTCCAAAATTTCGCATTGAATCAGATCGTACCTTGAACGTGCATGTTGAATGCGAATTGAGATGCGTAAGTTTTACTGACAGGCCTCAGTCTGAAGCTCTGTCGTATCAATGGGGTTCACCACGAGATCGCCGGATGATCTTTATTAATGGGCAGAAGTGTCTAGTTCGAGCCAATCTTTGGTCCGCACTCAATCAATTAAGGAACGAACATACAGAACGGATTCTTTGGGTAGACGCCCTCGGTATCAATCAATATGATACATTTGAGCGAAACCATCAAGGGGCAGATGAGCAAGATTTATGAACAAGCGACAAGAGTGATTTGCTGGATAGGCGTTGATGAAGGGGTAGAATGTTCTTCCGCTCACAATATCGACACGACGGAATTTGTTCCATCCATTGCGATCAGAACTCTTCAAGCTCTCAGTCGGTCTGGAGGACGATCAGACCAAAAACTACCTACCACAGGATTACCCTATTCGCTTTTGCCTTCAAGCCCAAGCCGGTCCCTGGAATCATTATGTCGGTTGTTTTATCGCCCATACTGGAAACGACTTTGGATCATCCAAGAGTTAACTCTGGCCAAAGAAATATTGGTTCAGTGCGGCGAATACAGTTTTGAATGGAAAGATCTCGCGCGATGTTGTGATAATCTAGAACAAATTGCTGAACATTGGTTGACCATTCGAGACAAGAAAGTATACAGATTGGTCTGTAAGATCAAGGATAGTATCTCATGCCGCTTACATGGGCAGAGGAGGGAGAGACAAACGCACGGGGAGCAAGCACATCCACTTCTTGAGCTCCTCTTTACATACAGCGAAGCACAATGCGAAGATATTCGTGACAAAGTTTTTGGACTACATAGTCTTGCCCATGACTGCTGTAAACGAGAAATACCGGTCGATTATGGAATCTCGATCCTAGAGATATGTTCAAGGGTTCTGAGCCATCATTTTTCCGAACATCAGTCACCGCGATTTTACACAGCTAGACATACGACCGCGGCGCTACATAGGCTTTTAAAGACGCCAAAACCAGATGAATATTTGCAACGGAAAATGCTAAATTCTATGGTCAAAGCTACACTGAAATTCAGTGGTACTCTAGAAGGCACCATTTCGTGGTTGAGTCCCTCATCTGACGATCTACCACTCACAGAATGGGTTCTACCCCATCAAGGCCACGAAACGATCATCGCAGAAGTGGCTCAAATCCACGAAAAAATGGACGAATTCGGATTCACAAAAAATCTAGACACATACCGGCTCTCCCATATCGGGCATGCCAAATACAGCCGAGCAATCCCAAAAGGTAATTCGTACATCGAGCTCAACTCACCCATCACAAACCACCTTCCCAGCCCAAGCGACAAACCCTCTTTAAGTTCCCCCAACCTCGGAAACAAACTCTTAGGTTTCGCAAGTAGCAAATTCCAACAAGCGATCAAATGGCGCGATCTTGATATCATGTTTCGTAAAGGTCTTGATTGGACTCCTATTATTGGAGGAACGGGTAGGGAGAACCGCGTGCGCATATCTATTTTGAGTGAAAATTTACTGCATTATGTACCGGGTAACGCAACCACGGGTGATCTGATGTGCCAAATTGATGATAGTGATACGATACTAATATTGAGATGGGATGCTAGTGGAAAAGAGGGGAATGGTAGGTATGTGGTTGTAGGAAGAGCAAGCGAGGTTCCGCATGCGGGCAGGAGGGAACAGGAAATCTCGAGGTATGGAGCGAGGGAAAGAATGAGAGTTTGGTTGGATACTCCGACGTTGCAGTTGTTGAGTTGGGAGGAAGGGTAAGATTTTGAGAGGTTTGGGTTGGGCATTGGCTTGAGATATGGGTTCCTGGATATCGGCGGGCTCTGGTTATATGTACTCTCATGATTAATGAAATAAGGCTTGGGCGCAAAGGGGATGGGGAAAGTATCGGTGAACTTTTGGATACTGGGAAATGCTGTCTACATCAGCGTGAAAGTTCACAATTGCCACGTCAACATATAATCAGCATGACGTTCCCCAAATCAAACTCAAGAAATGAGAATATGCATTGAAAACCGACTCTTCTTGTAGTACCATGGCACATTCCTCGTACCAACTCACCAGTACCGTCTCTACACTACCACACCGTATAGTAGGTACCACCATATATCCAAATCCTACCCATCCCACAATCCAATACTCGAAAAAGATACCTGCCTACCAACAACAACAACAACAGTCTACAAAGATAAAGATAAAGGAATCCACAACCTCACACTCAAAAATATCCCAACAGTTACCAGTTACTCACTAACCATAATTATCCAGAGATTCAGATATAGATAAGATACCCTAAACAAACCCCTAGACTCCTAGACCTAGAATACTGCTGTATCGCACTAGTACATTGTACCTAGTCAACCGAAATATCGTTTGCTAGATACCTAACGTAATCTAACAATAAATAAAATAATACACTTTACAATTTACAATTTTCTGATTGGTTTGCTGGTACTGCTTATATGGAAAGATAGCGAATACGTGTATATATATGTATATCTGAAGGATAGTAATAGTAACAGTAACAAAGTAAAACATATATCTTTCCCATGTTCCCAGTATGGAATAAGACACACATCTCTCTCTTCCTTCCTCCTTTCCTCCCTTCCACAGTCCCCCTCTCAAGACCATGACCATGACCCCTCTCCCTACACCCCCTCATAGCCCTCCACCCTCCTTCTCCTTCTACGCCCCTGCCACCCCACCCCCCTCGCCCACCGCGACACCATCAACGCACCCTCATCCCGTTCATGGTTTCGTTACTCGCTTGATAAAGATAGTCACCGTGTATACGTAACGGAGCGTAACGATTCGGATGAAATTGTGGGTGGAGGATATTGGCAGATTATTGTTGAAGAGGAGGATGCTGATGGGGATGGGGATAGGGGTGAAGAAGCGATCGATCCATCGTGAATACCAAAGGGATATTTGACATGTGGGTTTGGGTGGAGATTCAGTGGAAAGGGAGGGGTGCGCATCGTATTGTGGTATGTTTCCCTTCTGTCTTTGCTTCACCAATCAAACCACAAATATCCCCTCTTTCCAGCTTTCCACACCACAAAACAAAAACCAACAAACACTGCAAGAAAACCCACCCAAACCCACCCATCTAAGTCCCTTCCACCTCCCTCTCATCGCCATCTCAAAATCAGCAATCTAATCCTATCACGAGGAACTCAAAAAGCGAATAAACTCATTTTAAATAGATTATTATCCAGAAGGGAAACCGGTTCGCAAACGAAACGAGTGTTCTTTTATATACCAACCATGGATTTGAAAGGGTTCGAAATGAGGAAGTTAAGCCATACAAAGAAGAATATTTGAAGAGTGAGGAGTGGAAAGAGGTTGACGAGGAATTGGTGGAGGTTTTGACGGGCATGGGGAGGGTTTGTAGGAGAGGTTGAGGATAGTATTGGAGAGATTGGGTTATGGTGAATTGTAGATTGAGGGTTTCGAGAGAGGGGATTTGAATGATCTGTTGGAAGTGGATATCGAATTGCTATTAGCCAAGGGACTTCACAGTCATGATAATACTTAGAAGCTCTGTTGTACTGCGAAAGCAATAATGGGGATTGGTAGTTACAAGTACTGTTCTCGTCCAACGATGAGGGTTGATTATAGCAGCATTATACTGTCAGCCCGGTGATTTATTCATAGCAAAGTACTTGATACAAGAATGATGTAAAAGTCTCCATACGAATAGCCTTTCCCATGGTACAGAACGAGAGATGAGGTGTCTATTCGAAAATGAATGTGAGTGGCAATTTGTGAAAGCTCAATAACATTATGGGCTTAACAATGAGTTCACAGCAGAGATTGTTTACCTCGACTGGGGAAAGTGTCAAAGCCATTAAAATCCATCAAATGACACCAGTATATACTCGAATTTAATTAATATAATTACATTGCGAGAAAATGCTATCGGTAGGTAGGTATATATAAAAATCCCAACCCATTTTGTATACGCTCAACGCCACTAAACGCCGTTCTATGCTCTATGCAAGCAATCTACTTGGTACTATAAACTGTCAATACATCATTAATTTGGCGAATCTACTTCTCCATGAACCTGAGCTCCTTGTGGCTCTTCTACTGGAGAAGTAACGATCCTCATTGCTTCATCCAAAATGCTTAACCCCTCTTCGATTTCTTGCTCGGTGATATTCAAGCTTGGTACAAATCTCAAAGTGTTGGTTCCAGCAGTGATAATCAATAAACCTCTCTCTCGAGCAGCTGTGACAACAGGTGTAGGATCTTGACTAAGTTGCAATCCCAAGTGTAATCCTCTGCCCCTGATTTCTTTGACAAGTTCTGGGTACTTGGATTGTAAGGCTTGGAAATGCTTCTTGAATATTTCTGACTTCTTGAGGACATCTTTTTGTAAGGATGTATCAGACAATCGAGAGACAATATAATGAGCTATCCTGGATCCTAGTGGATTTCCACCAAATGTAGTTCCGTGATCACCAACCTTGATCTTCTCGGTTACATGCTTATTGACAATTGTTGCTCCAATTGGGAAACCATTTCCGAGTGCCTTGGCGGTAGTAATGATATCTGGATGAGCTGGTTTTGGCAATGAAGCATGGGCCCAGAAAGTTCCCGTTCGTGAAAGTCCACATTGAATTTCATCATAAATGAGGACTGCACCAACCTCACGACAACGAGCTGCGAGTGCAGTAAGAAATTCTTCGGTGGCCACAATGACACCACCTTCTCCTTGAATTGGCTCTACTATAACACCACAGGTCTTCTCCGTAACCAAATCCTTGATAGCATCCACATCATTATATGTTCCATATTTGAATCCAGGTAACATTGGAGAAAATGGTTTTTGATATTTTGGGTTTGGGGTGGCAGACAATGACCCCATAGTTCGACCATGGAAAGAGTTTTGGAATGAAACGACTTCATATTTGTCTCCTGATGGATCGACGACCTTTCCGGTCTTTCTAGCAAACTTAATGGCAGCTTCATTAGCTTCACTGCCCGAGTTGCAAATGAAGACAGCTTGGGCATCGTGCATTGAATTCGATTCGAGAGTCTTCTCAATGAGAAGTTTGGAGAGGGCCCCGGTCCACGGATTATGATACAAGTTGGAAGTGTGCATAAGAGTTGTTCCCTGATGTAGTGAATGGGGTCAGATGAGTCACTTCAAGGAGAGTGAGGGGCAGAACTTACCTGTTCTAACATTATCTTTGCGATTTCTGGATCGCAGTGTCCTAGAGCATTGACTGCTATACCCGCTGTGAAATCCAAATATTTCCTGTTATCCACATCCCAAAGATGACATCCGGATCCTTTCACAAACATTGGTGGTGGTCGGACATAGGTGGCAACCATATATGGAGCTTGTTCAGCGACGAGATGTGCTGTTTGAGAACTTGGGGAAGGATCTGGATGCGATATATTGGCCTCACTCTAGATTTGGTGTTAGTGAATGAGAATGACTGGCACATCATGTCATACATGAACATTGTGCTTAGATTCATCTCTTACATTTGTAGCAGAGGCCGTTGCTTGTGAGGCATTTCTTTTCATGTAGGCATTGATAACTGGTGATATATTTCCAGCTTTCAAAGCAGCTGTCACCCGTTTCGCAGATAGTCGAAGAGCCATTATGATTTATTTAAATAGGGAGAAAAGGAGAACGTTGTGTTGAAAACTGTATCAAACTCCCAGCAACAATGAGTCGTAGTGAAAATATATAAATATATATATATATACCTATCAAAGGATAAAAAAAAGATACCGGGGAGAGTCAACCATCTAAGCGTTATCGGAGCTAATCATGCAATGCAAGGATAAAAAGTTTACTACGGAGTAATCCGCATGGCAAATAGAAATTTTATCTAAGTTAATTGTCAATTGATATAGAATTCTGCAAACGCCGCATTCTAAGGGCATTTTAAGGGCGTGAGTTCTGTCACTATATACATTTTATATGTCATCGCCTTTTTCTATTTTACACCTTTCTCCTGTCATCTTTCTTGACCCTGAGATATTTTCTGCCACCGCCTTATCGCTGCGCTATCTATAATGGGTCTAGTGTGTTTAGCCCCACCATCCAACATATTAGATGAAGGGCGTGAAGCTTTTAGAGCTTGAAGATTCAGGTGGCTTAAGCAGCAAAATCACGCTCATCCCTCTTTCACTCTACATGTACAAATGTTCTATCGAAAATATACATTGACCAAGTATCATTCCACCATCCGGAGAAGAAGTAAGAGATTTGCATTACTCATATCATCTTGAGGTCGTTGGTTGTGTCTTTTGGAAGAGCAAGTTGAGGAAAAGGAGGTTCGAGACAAGGAGGGGCTTGCTCGTTGTGCCTCTGGGGAAGAACGTCGATTTATGATTTCCTTATACGTCTTGGCCAAGTCCTTCATCTTGTCCTTATAGAAATCGAGATTATGGGCTTTCGACTGTGGCTGCAAAGTAATCTCCACCAATTCTTCATCGCTATCCTCAGAATCCGAACCATTGGCTGAGAGGTTTCCGTCTGATGAAGCTGGAGAGAATAAGCCGGTATTTGAGGGCAGTCTTTTTGCAGCTTCGAGATTCTCGAGCGGTTTAGGTTTTGACTTCGAGCTACCTCTTTTTGAGGATGACGCAGACGGTTGGCTCTTCTTCATAATTTGGTAGGTAATGTTTGCGTTGCGGGTTTTGAGTACTCGTGGAGAATCCATCGTGGTATGACAACTCCCAAGTGATGAGTCTAAAATGCAACTAATGGAAAATGCGAATGAAGTGAGAATTTCGTGATACCACCTCCTTATTTCTTTATACACTTTTTTACCGCCGCATGAAAAATAGCGTTCACCAACATATGGACTGGACCCGTCGCGACCATAGCGCTGAGCAAAAACTTCTGGTTCGTACCTTTTACAGCCACAGCGTCACCTCGTATGATTCGAACCTTTTTCATTACTGGCTAGTAGTCGAATGAAATTCGGAAGCCTTCTATAAGGTCCAGGCTTCTTGCATGCCAGAACAGAGTTTCTAGCGTTAACCACTGTTTATGTGTGTTTCAATAATCCCGCGCGTCAATGGCGGCCTCATTGGCTTCTCTCTTGTCAGTAGCCGCGAGAACCCATTGTTCTGTGCAGCTTTGTAGGGCGTTTCGATATTCGACCTCAGATTGCCAGACCAGCCAACCTTAAATGCTATGAGACATCTTTATGTCTCACCTAACCCGTTCAAAAGTATAATTAATCGCTCAAATTGCTGAACAAACTTATTCAGACGCTTCCTTCGGCTTCATCATCGCGCATACCAATATAAGGATATGCGGATTACTCGATGCTTAAAACTCGCAGAACTCCAAGCGCATTGTTGAACAATGCCAATTACTATGGCTAATCTGTAGACGATCTCAGGAGCACGAATCGGCAACTTACCTAGCAATTAAGATCTTGACTAAAGGTAAGTTCGGGCTAAAGAAAAGAGCGGCCTGCAGCTTATGTCACATTGATCAACATGAAAGTGTCATTCATCAGCGGAAGCTATTTATTCGCATTATTCATCACTAACCGCATCGAAAGGTATGTTGCATCGAAAGGTATGCTATTTTATCACACGAGGGGAACCCGTCTCACTCCATACACCCTTTAACATAAGGGTTGCCCCGCATCAACAATGTTACCTCCAGTCATGCATGTTTAGCCAATCGAACGTTATTTCCAAATCTTTGTACCGAACTAAATGCCACACAAGGTCCATTGTGGCAGCATTTAAAGTCACACTCTCGTTTACCCAGTGTAGTCACCACTTGCACATCAAATGCTATTCATACGCCTAAATGAAGGACAAAAAACCACAATTTGCTCATCACAAAACTATGTTTCGTACTTTTCTCTGATCATTCAACAACAATGCCTGCCTCATCCAGCTTCCCAATATCTCCTTCACCTGAAAAACAGCCTTCGATCACGGCCAAAGAAGTAGATACGGCTGCAATTGAAGTCTCTACATGGCAGATCGATCCATCATTTGAGAAATCTCTGCTTAGGAAGCTTGATCTCCATGTTGTTCTTCCACTCATGATCTTGTTCATTCTCGCTTTCCTTGATAGAGTCAATATTGGTAATGCAAAGATACAAGGGTTGACTGAGGAGTTGAAGATGATGGGGAATGATTTTAACGTTGCGCTCATGATTTTTTTTCCACCGTAAGTTCCAATCTTGGCTCTTACGAATTTACCCCTATTATTGCAAAGTCAAAATGAACTCAATACCCCCAAAGATAAAGCTTCCGAATTGTTTCAACAATCAAGAATATCACATTATGTGACCACGTCAATGATCGTCGCTAACCAAATTGAAAAGCTATATCTTCTTTGAATTTCCCTCCAATCTAATCCTTCGCCGCCTCTCACCATCACTTTGGTTGACTATTATAATGACCCTTTGGGGAATCATAACAGTCTGCCAAGGTCTAGTGCGTAGCCAGAGTGCATTGGTTGGTCTGCGGTTTCTTCTCGGGCTCTTTGAGGCTGGTTTCTCTCCCGGCGCTGTCTACCTGATTTCCATGTACTACAAACGTTATGAGTTGCAGTGGCGCCTTAGTCTTTTCTTTGCGGCCTCGATTCTTTCAGGAGCTTTCGGAGGTCTCTTTGCATATGCTCTAGCTCATATGGACGGTATTGGTGGATATAGTGGCTGGCGCTGGATTTTCATAATCGAAGGACTTCTCACCATTGTTGTTGCTCTCTCCTTTAAATTACTGGGTATCCTAGTCGATTGGCCAGAAACTGCATCTTTCCTCACATCATCCGAACGGGAAATCTTAATCCGACGATTGAAAGATGACATGGGAGAAGATACGCAGCTTAACACGCTGAATAAAGAATCTTTGAAGAGGATATTGGGTGATTGGAAGATCTATGCAGGAATATTCATGTATATGGGAGTTGTAAATACTGGTTATGCTACTAGTTTTTTCATTCCGACAATCATTCAGGACATGGGATATACGGCGATTGGTAGTCAAATCAGAACTATTCCTATATATTGTGTGGCTGCAACGACGGTACGTTGACTCTCATTTCTTTGTCTCTTGATATCTTTCGCATGCAATGTTTACTAAACCTACGTTCAGTGTCTTGTGATAGCATATCTGACCGATCATCTTCAGCACCGCTTCGGCTTCACAATCGCTGGAGTCGTGGTTGGTATCATTGGTTACGTGATCCTTCTTTGCCAGTCGCACGTTACGACCGGTGTTAAATATATGGCTTGTTTCTTTATAACTACAGGCGGATATATGACGCAACCAGTTACTTGGGCATGGGTCGCTAATGTATGCTACTTCAAGTCTTGAAAATCCCTTTCTTGTTAAGGTTTCTCCTCAATTATTCTATTCTCATCGCCTCGCACATTAAATCAAAACTTACTAATCCTCAAAACAGAATATGGCAGGCCACTACAAACGATCCATTTCCACCGCTCTTCAAATAGGCGTGGGAAACATCGGCGGCATTGTCGCTTCCAATATATTCATAACCAACCAAGCGCCAGAATATCCTGTAGGATATGGGGTCTCTCTGGGAATGTTGGTCATGTGTGGAATTATGTGTACGGTTTTCTTCTTCGGATTGAAGAGAGAAAATGGTATTAGAGATAGAGGAGGGAGAGATTATAGGTATAGGGAAGAGGAGGAGAGGAAGAGGAAAAATGTAGACGAGAGGAAGGAAGAGGAGGGAAATTGGGGGGATGATTGGCCGGGATTTAGGTTTGTTTTGTAGGTTGCGTTGAAAGGGTGTTTGGTATGGGACTGGCTATCTCTTATTTATTTGCAGCTTGGAAGGGAATTTTGGAAATTATGTGCACGGCATTGAAGCAAAAGTCGTGCGGAAGTGTGCTTTCAAACATTCGATAGATCATGTTGAATGCATTCACTAGGTATTCTTTGTAACTAAATACCTTGCTATCTCCTTGTATAATGCTTTTCTTTCTTTCTCTTCTTCAATCTTACTTCCTTTTCGTGTTGGATATGTTGAAGTGCCAAAGTCACCAACGGTGTTGTAAAGTATTGATTATATATGCATCCTTCCACTCTGGAAAAAGAATGTCTACTTCAACTACCAACTCCACGCCCTGGCATTCAAATCTGTGGAACACAACCCCGTTTGAATTTGCACTCGTGATCACATTTCAATGAAGGTCGTTTTGGGATGCTTCTTTTGTCTGTTGGGATGTTTTGTTCTTTTCTTCGGGTTAGGGGGGAGACAGGAGAGAGATACAATGAGAGGTCTGGTAGTAAGATGACGGGGGAGATATGGGGTTGATGCTTGAAGTTAATAGAAATGTGCGTATGAAGGAGATTAGGTTGTAGGAAAGTGAATTTTTGAAACGTGGGGATGAGAAAGAGAGGAAGTTATCTTTATGTAAGAAGCATAGGTTTGAGGTATTAAGAGATTGGAGGTGGATCTAAGAGAATAGCAAAAATAGTCAAAGATATCAAAGAGAGAATTAGTGAAAATGAACGAAGATTCTTCTTATTCGTCAGATTTACAACATTCTTTCACTTTGCATAACATCACAATGATTCAACAAAATCCCAAGGTCTTGAATATTACACAATGAAGCTGCAGTACAAATGTGTCTTTCCAATTCTTCAGCCAATCCTTTCTTGACAAAATACCTGGGTAGTCACAAGCTGTATTATTCACTCATTTTTCAGCCCCAATATCTCCGAAATTACAAGAAGTCATAAGATATGATTTGGATCCGGCTATGCTGGAACCGAATTCACACAAGTGCAGTAATCTCGTGTCTATTTAACATTTGAGAAGAGAAGAGACTTTATCTTTTAGGTTTGGAATTTCACAACACATCCAACTTGAGGTTAGAATCGGAAGGTCTTTTGGCATAATTTACTCAGTATCGGCAACTTTCGAGACTACTTTTGAAGAGAGAAACATTGTGGGCTTTGTTGATAGATTTCTCAGGAAGAATATTTCGAGTAAGTTTCTTTCTTTTCACTCAGGCGGAGTTCTACGGAAATACAAACTCTTGATCTGCGAGCTAGTGCTATTAATCCATATTACAGCGTTGTGATCGCCAGTCAACACTTGTATCAATCCAGCATTGAAACATACTCTACCGATCAATCAAGCTAACACAAAATATAGTCCGTCGTCTGTTTCACCACCTAAGCCTCACTAGTCGACCACTCGCTGAAGTGAAGCGCACCCAAAACCTCATCCAATTTCCCGGATATCATGGCAGAAAACTCCAAAAACAAAGGCAAGACTCCATGGATACCACATGATCCTGCGGCAGTACCATATGGACCAGTACCAAAAATACACTTGAAGTCGATTGATCAAATGCTTCCGCGGAAGCATTCAGATCAGCAACTTCAGCCTCGATTTGTTAGGAAACCAAGACCAATGGAGGAGATGCAACCTAAATCCAGTCGTTCAAGGAGCCCACGTCGACATGTCATGAAACCGAGACCCATGGAGGAGATGCAACCTCAAGCCAAGCGCTCATGGAGCTCATTTCTACGCGAACATTCAATAGAGTCACAGTCTATGGAAGATATACGATCTCAAACCAAGCGCTCAATAAGCTCACTTCGGCCTCGGATTGTGATGAGATCAAAGCCTATTGGTAAAATTTCAACTCCGGGCGAGATACCAAGTTTTCCAAAGGTTTCACTCATGTCGTCAAAGGCCCGTCCAACAACCTCCACTAACAATGGTTTCACACGGCAAAAATCTGGAAGACAAACATTTCATAAGTTTTCTGATCTTCCGTTAGAGCTTCAAATTATGATTTGGCAATGGTATGGAAGAATCCACGCAAACAGTAATCCGAACGTCATCAAGATTTCCCGCTGTTTTAGACCTGTGCTACAAAACTTTATGGTCAGAGAGAATTCATCAGAGCAGAACTCATACTTTGCCATGAGTTACAAGCTTCCTCCCATCTTTTATGTCTGCAAGCTTACTTTCAAAATTGCGAAAGACTTATATGAGAAAGAATTTCAAGTGATTCCAATGATTAAAGATGATAAACAATTGACATACTTCAACGAAGACAGGGACATCATCGTTTTGGAAGATGCTCATGTATTGATGGATTGGAGATACAACCGCCAGACTGAAGCTGAATTCGCCAGAAGGACGCAAATAAGCTTATATCGGCCCGCAGCCGAGAGAATCACAAGAAGAATCAACATGAAACATCTCGTTATTGGTGGAACAACCCGATCACACATCGAGGCGAGGCAGCTGGCAAGATTTTATGATTGCGAGTCCATAATGCTGGGGGTACCCTATTTGATTCGCAGCAGATTCTTCTCCACCGAGAATAGAAACCAACCAGACCGCGAAGCTATCTCATTTCTTCGTGATCGACTCATGGGCTTCTGGAAAGAGGAAAGACAGGGACCTTTTGTTAGGGAAGACTATCGCAGAAAGCTCATCCGTCCAATGATAGCTGAGCCCAGTTGGGATACGACTGAACGAACTATATCCAACCCAATGTTCTTTGTCTTTACCGGTGACGAGATATCATATCAACTGGTATGTATTATACTTCGGAATATCCTCAGTTTCTTATCAGCTCTGAATTGCTGACACATTTGTAGCACCGTTTACATCCCGCAATCACGAATTTCATGACACCAGTCCCAGGAGCTAAGAATTCTATCACTTTCATGAACGATATGAAGTTCTCACGTAAGCATGCTAGGCTATTCGAGTACCCATGGGAGTGCGTTCCAGAAACATAGCTAGGGATTCCTTGAAGATTCATTAGCCTAGGGGATGATGTAGAATAGCAAGTGTGCTTGCAGACTTACCATCAGTTCGCTTCATTTACTGCCAATTAACGTCCAGCTTGTGGCAAACATGAATCAACCACGAGGGAAACAAAATATTTTGGAGTTGAATGGATGTGGTTCTGTTTCCTTGAGATATTCACGGAATTGGAGAGAGTAATGGCCTTTCACTCAGCTTTATGCGTCGATTGGAACAGCGGAAGAATTCTATCACTGGGCAATTTCAAAGACCACAATACACCCTATTTTGAATTAGACACTTAGCAATCTGTATGTCATCTGCGGCGCAGATATCATTGTAAATCGCAGAACTACCTTAAAATTACTTTCTTGAAAGTGCCCACGTGAGAATGTGATTATGACTTGAGCTTACCGCACCTTCCAATCACCACTCATGATTCTCTAGTTTCGAATAATCATTCTCGGTAGTCTGAACCAGAAAGGCTCAATGCCTAGGTAGACCCATTATATTTTCATACATATTCCATGCATTCTTTCACTTGAGCAGCCAGATAAGACTTTGCATGAAGTCTCGGTAGCTTTATGCCACTCACTAATTGTAAAAGGGAAATTATACAAAAGAAGCCGTTCTCTTTCATTGAGCATGTTTACAGAGAAATTGTCTTTTGTTGACTCCTGTAGATGCATAGCTCTACGTTTGCTGCTATTGTAGTACTGCGTGAAATCGGTATTATGCGGTGGGTGAAACATTATTTCATACCTTTAGCTAGAATATTCACTTCTTTGTTACGGCCCCTAGAGATGGTATAGCTGGTCATGGTATTGTTAGGAATATTCATTCTTATCAGAAGATAAGCCGTTGTTAAAATTTGGGGTATTCAATTAATGCCCTTCAATTAATGCCCTTCAACCGTCTCGGCTAACAAACTTTGTTTTCACATCAACAACTTATAACAATTTCAATCTTCTTGCTTCTCGACTCGACTCGGATTCTCTACACTTTTTTTTGATAATCTCAACCCTCCCTCGCGCAGTTGTTAATTGACTTCTTATACATTTTCCACAATTTTACCTCTTTGACCAGACAAAAGCCATTCGTCCTACCTAGTCACTCTCATTTGCACTTCGAACATCCAAATCTATCAGCCTTTACACCATTACCTCCAACATGGCCATTATCACCCAATTTACGGTATTCCCCAAGCTTTCTTATGATTTGAGGGCTATGATCTGGGATTTGGTTTCTCAACAACCTTGTCGAATTCAATTTGGACACTATATCGTTCGTAAGACAAAACTTTCCAAGGGTAAGGACAATGAGCTTGTCTCTGAGAGGGATCTATTCTTCTCTGGCAAGCATCCTGATTATCCCCGCCCTTGGAGGTTGAAGGCTGAAGCCAGAGTACCTTCTGTGCTTATGACTTGCCAGGAATCTCGCTATTGGGCAATGAAGCATTATCATTTGGAGTTCAAGGATCAGTTGTATACCAAGGCTCTATGGTTCAACCCTAAAGTTGATATACTGGTTTTCAATACGCATACTGCATTGCTTGTATTTGTTCGGGGAGGTTGCACCTTTGGCGGGCTAGATTCGCGTTTCACGGACAGCTCTAAAATGCCTGTCGTGGAGAGAGTAGTTTTGCTTGAATCTCTTCGAACGTATATGTACAGTGTTGCCACGGAGACTACAAAGAGACTCCCTCACTTGAAGTCGCTCGTTGCGAGAACCGATGGCGTTCGTTCCGATGCCGTTTTGTGCTACAGTGAGAATTTCTTATCTGGTGGAGCAGTTTTGCCTTCTCTTCGTGTCCGAATGAATCATCTATGGCATTCTGATGAGTGGAGGGCAATCAGAGCTTACAGTCAAATGCCAGAATTGCAAATTCTGACGGTAGATGAGATGTTGGATGCTGTAAGTTTGACGGAACATCTTCTTTTGTGGATGACAACCACTAACATTTTTCAGGGTTTGGCAGAGCCATTTGGTCCTTCCAATAAACCACCTAAGCGTCGAAGAAGAAATCTCAAGGTAGATCAAAATCAAATGCCACCAGTTCGTCAATCAGATCGAATCAAGTCTATGGAGACAAAAAATTATTTCGAAGACTGCGAAGACTAGATAAATGCAAAGAAAATGCTCTCATTCAAGACCCTACTTTACAAAGGGACGGTGGACTTTGGATCCTGCGTTTCGTCGTACAATCTACCACTCTACTCGAAGCGTCTCAGAGCGGCCTGTTATTTTGAAAGGTTCTTTCTTCATTGACATGCTTGGATCAACTGCTACCTCTGAATGAAAATCCTCTTTGCTTATCCAGTCGATTTATTCAATAATCAAGCATTATTTCTTTGCTCCGCCTTCTTTGCACAGCTACATCCACAACACCTCGAAATATCCCATTGGTTTTCCTACTCGCAATTACAAAGAACCCAGCACTTGCGTGGTCTTGGACCCTTCCAGACTGCTTTTTTACGACGTTCTTCCCGTACCACTTGTAGCTGCTCAAAAGCCTATCATGCTGCAGTTGTGTTTTCCATGTGCCAGAAAATCTCGACAGTTCTCCTGCGGCAAATCTTTCCTTCTTACGAATCGAGACTCGCTTCTGCCAACGCACTTCATATATTCACGATCGTCGCCGGTGATGGCAACAAAGCAACTTGCACAACATGAATTACTGGGGGGTTGGGGATTTCTCTTTTCAGAAAGTGGTACGATATGCAACCGCTGGGTGATTTCATGTCAACACGTTTAGTCAGGATGGCTGATGTTGGATTCAATCCTAGTTATTCTATTCTTCGTGGTTGGTTTTTCTCTTAGAATATGATCCGCTGGGACCCTGAGCGGATGATGTTTTTTTGCAATACGGCGTTGACCGGTAGAGAAAAGAAAAGTGTAATGGGTTCTTAAGTTCTTTTCTTGAAATCAAAATTGCATTCTACCCATTGACTAAGTCCATTGATGACGCATATGTGATTAACATGAGATGACTGAGATAATACACTACCAGTTTTATCGTAAGTTCTGAGCCTCTCTTCTTTTAAGTAAAGTGGAGGATGTGCTCAGGAGTTATTTAACATTACCAGAATCCATCCTTTCTCATGTTATAAGAATGAAAGCAGTATTACCCGTCTTTATTATGTTTCATCAAAACACCAAAAATCCCAGACCCCTCACATACATACATCCATTAATATTTTTCATTCCTCGAGACTCATCACATACACGCTCATTCCCGAACCCATGACATTCGACGCCTTATCCGCTGCCACGACTTTTTTGTTGCCACACATTGTTAACAGGTAATCCTCGAGCCATTCCCTACAATATTTATTTGTCTATTGAGTTTCTGGGGCATCCTGTAGTTTTTTTCTTGGGAACATGTATATCATGTTAGTATTAGTAATCTGATGGAATTTGGAGGTCTTATGATGATGGTGATGATTTACATTTCGAAGGAGATTTACCACTTGGGGTAGATGACTTAGAAGCGTCGGTATTCAAACTGGTATTCATGTTTCAGAAATCGAAGATGGGCTTTGCACCGCCTGTTTGCGAGTTCGTGGGTGCAGTGGAGTGATAAGGGAGAGGACTCGTCAGGTCGCCATTTGAGTCTCTGCAAGATGAAAATAGCTTGAATCGGCGGCGATTACTAGACATTGTGAAGAAATGTTTGTATGTTTTTGCAGGTGGCAATTGGACGGTTGATTGAATTTCACAGAAAATGAGTAGAATAGAAGCCAGTGTATGAGCAAAGAATTGATATAGCATGCAAAGGGGAAAGCAAACTTTTGAATGAAGTGATGTAGATTCTAGTTCTAAGCTAACCCGAATTCAAGGTCATAGACTTATAGTGTCTTCCGAATTAGGGATAGTACGTAACATGATTGGCGTGCATAGTACACAACGTTCATAAGACTTATTCTTATCTTTAATATATATGCAGACTTATTAAGCAGACACTAGAAGTTCTTAAGACTGTTCAGTTCTACACCAACACTACGCATAACGACACATATGGTCATTTACCCCAGAATTTGATGAGTTAGACATGTACACTAGAAGAATGCCAGGCCTAACCTTAAATTAGCATAGCTCGGCAAGCCGAGTCTTTAGTTTGAGAATGACATGTTGACCTGGACATACGCGAGTCAATAAAAGACTCAGACGGGTTTCCTTCTTCGACGAGAACGACTGAGGAGAGGTCTCTATTGTGATGCGTTGAATTGAAGCCCGGCATGGGTGTTCTGATTTCTTACTGAATACACCTGATGGAGCCGAGATTTTCACGTGATAGCCTACCCCAAGATCGCCCGACCAAGGTTTTCCGTTAGTCTCTTGTACTAACACAACTACCCCACGAGCCAAGACTTGCAGTTCATGGTAGGTAAGCTAGAATCTTTGCTTGGAATGTTGATGTGATAATGTCGTGTGCTAGGTTGGTGTATAAGAAGTACTTCTCGAGTTTCTATAGAAGATCACCTGGAACCTTGATATATAGCCAATTTCATGATCACGGGAACATATATCTCTTAAACCTCTTTTAAATGAAAGCTGATTCTATAATACATAATTCCTGAGCCGAAAGGATGTCAATGGCCCACACATGAGAAACATAGCCTCGACTTTCCATTCATAAACATGACCATCTATTTCCAAGGCTGTCTATAGGTAAAGCATTATTCCACCAACGACGAAAGCAAGTTACATTGTTCCTTTCTCTATGCTGATTCCTAAGCTTTCTTTGAAAGTTTTTTAATGTTGTACGTAGAGCTGACTTCAAATATCGAGTCAAAAAAAGAAAGTGTCGCGTCTGTACTACTCCTAACCATTGTTAGTAAGTCGTGGATACAGAATGTTGGCAGTAGAGGGCTCTTAACTTACATCGATCGCTGCTCACCTCGTTCCACGACATCTAGAATATCATCAAACTTGACAATACGAACTTCAGGGCATCCTGGAGTGGCAGTTCCTTCCCTGATACGGTCAGCTTTGGCGTCGTAAGAAAGCCTCTTCACCTCCTTGTCAGACCAGATCTCTTTGAATGTACCCCACCAAGTCGGTGATCTTTCTGCAATGACTACACGCTTGATACCATCCCAGATGCCCAGTATCTCAGTCAGGACTTCTTCCTCGCTCTCGCCACTACCACAACCGGCATTCATCGAAAAAACATTTTCGATTCTTTGGATCTCTTCAGAGATAACATGGTCTTCTCCCGAAAGAATTTCGAAATGCTCACATGTGCTACTGCCAACAAGACTTATATAGTCTTGCTGATAATTGAAGTAGATAGGATTGCGAAGGATACCTTTAAATACAACCGTGTATCTTTTAAGTGCTTCTTTTCTAGAGTCGCGACAAACGTGCAGAACTACCGGCATGATATAATCACCCCAAAACCCTTCCTCTCCTGATCCATCCTCGGCGCAAGGCTTGATACGAACAATCTGTCGATCATCCGCAGCCGCAGCCCAGATCATAAGCTGAAGTTCCGCCGGTAACATGGGAAAGAGACAAAACGAACGCCGGGCTTTGAAGTAAGGATCCAAATTGTGGTCGACGCCGATGATGAGAGTATTGGGAGGTTCGAATAGCTGCAGTTTGCGAAGACTTGTCTCCATTCGGAGAAGATCGAAGGTTTGTGGATGCATGTCTATATTGTTTTGTAATTTTCTGCGGCGAGTTATTAGTTCGAAGAGAATGCGCAAGTGTTTATAGGAATTCACGCGTTCTTGTACTTACTTTGATACGGCAGTATAGGGTAACAGTAAGCGTGGTAGAAACTAATCTAATTTGCTTCCCATCGCCGTAGTGACAGGATAATAGTTGTTGTTCTGATGCAATATCCACTTCTCTAGTACCAGTATATTTTGGTTATGGAATTCGATGACCTCTCGAGTATGTAAACAAGAGAGCAGTAGTGTTGTTGTTGTTGTCGTCTGATCTGTAACCGAGGTTTTACCGACCTACAAACACAAGAGATCAAAGTGAATACACAAATTGATAAACATAAAGGTCCAAGAGCGTCAGAGCAGGGATTAAAAATTTGATTCCAAAGGCTTTCAAAAGTCAAAGAATTTCAGAGCCTCAACTTTACCAACAAACTTGATTGACCATCAAGTTGGCACATCGGCAGTTGTTAATTCGGGAACAACAATATACGAACATTACACAGCTTCATTGCAAGCCAGATAAGTCATGGCGGTCACCACACTGGATCGATTTACGTGCTTTCCCAAACTACCTCTAGAGCTCCAGATAATCGTTTGGTCCTTTTGTCCCTATGTTGATAAACAGACCGTTAATATCGCAGAGGTACCGGAAGTAGTTTTAGGCATGGGTTCATTTAGCAGCCGCTCTACAACAGGAGATAGATTGAATTCACTTGCAGTGGATTTCCCAGACGCAAATTTTATCAATGTCTAGTACAGAGTCCCCTCACCTTTGCAAATCTGCCAACAGTCCAGGAACGTAGCTCTTCAGCATTACCGACGAGTTGCTACTACATACGGCGATACCAAGTGTGGCCCACCACCTTTCTACATTAACTCGCATCAGGATTCTATTTTCTTTGAGGACATACTAGCCATTACACTACATTCCTACCCTCCAACTCTTCCTTTTTGGACACATAACGGAAAAACCCTTTCAACTCCCGACGGTGAAAGTCTCTGCACTTCAGTGGCCACTCGTTGGGCTAATAGCGAACCTCCAAGTGTGGATCATCTACTGTATACGCTATGCAAATTTCCAGAAGTCAAACATTTATACTTCCTTGATTGCCCTTCTGGACCCTTCCCTATGTCAACTTTTTCGAGCCATTACATACAGTGGATGAGTAGGGATAAAACAGAGGAGGTTCTCATGGGATTGATAGACCTGATATTGTATCTTACGGGAACGCAACCGATGCTTACTTATGCGCCAGACGCAACAGATTTAAAGAATCGTACGGGTATCTTTCGGAGCGGTTGGGTGTTGCCACTAATAAGCTGCATTACTGCCGAAGAATTCTTTTCTTTGAGAAAGGCGGAGGCTGAATGATTGAAGGTGAGTTGGATTAGCACTGATGAACTTGAATCACATCTCTACAAGACCAAACCCGAACTGACTATAAGTAGTCGAAAGATCCTTCGGCGAAAATTCAAAACGCGATGGGTCGAGAAGCAGGAGCATATTGGCTACCTCGCTTCAAACATGGAATGCACATTTCTTCGCAATCATGGTGTGGGTCATTTTTCAGTGTTTATCTTTTCTTCTTTTTCCTTTTCGAGAAAAGACTTCAATGGGAAGGGCTAAAAAGACCTCGTTTTCAACAATGGCATGATGGGCTAACTCTAGGGGGAGGGGCCATATACAGTGATTGTGGCAGGCAAGTCTTGACAAATAAATTTTACGGGATTACAATGGGGGAAAAAGAGTTGGGTATGTGGACTTGCAGCTTGGTACACCTGAATTGCTGAATGGATTCATAATTCGAGAATATGATCTCTGCATATACTTTTATAAACATGAGAAAAGTGAGACAAACATGTGAACTCTTAGGCTTCTGAATCTCTAGACTTATTCGTCGTAACAAAATGTGATGATAATATAAGCAATAGTTGTTGAAGACAATTATTCCGAAGACTGCTATGAGCCATTGTAGGGGCATGGAATGGTAGTATATTACTGCCAAATGACAAATAAGGATTTATGGACTTCTACAGCAAGTCAAAATGGTACCACGACTTCATACAACGACTCACTTACCCAAAAGACTTGACATACCGCTGACTCTTCGTCTCATCTTCTTGAAAGGGACCTTAAAAAGAAGCGAGTAAAAGATGTCAGCTCACTGCACCCATTTAAGAAGATATTTTATCGACATTGTGTGCATCAACATAGAAATAAGCATTACGACTCAAAATGGCATCTCTGGCACATCGAATCAAGATCCGTCAGAGGGATAAGAGAATACATAATTTCATTTTGAAACAAAAAAGAAGAAAAGAAGCTGCTCTACGTATTGTGCGAAAAGAATTCCTCCCTCATTCCTTGCCTGGAGGATGCTACTTCATTCCCGAGTACCAAGATTTCATATCTGTGTCCTCCTCTGGTTTACCTCTCCAAAGAGGCTTCAGTCCTATTTTTACGAAAAAAAATCCTCCATATTTACCACTTTGAGAAATTTACCAGCCGAAATACAACTCATGATATGGGAATTTGCATCAAAAAAAGCCGACATATCTGGAGCATCGGCATAGAACTCACCAGAAAGAGCTGCTTCATTTATCAAGAAACCAAGAAGCACAAGGACCAATCGGAAGTTTGGAGACATTAATAGGTAGTGGGGCAGTGAACTACCATAATGATTCTCTAGGTCTTCTTCGGGTATGCCATGATTCTCGAACTATTGCAAAGAAATCGCGATCTCAGCCATACCTTACAAAGTATGGAAACCCAGTCCATATTGACTTTGCCCTTGATACTCTAGTTTTCGTTGACTCTGGGGCATTATTCAATACCATGGCTTCTTGATTTCGACTTCGATGCGCCATTTTGGTTCGCTAAATGAGGGGCTGGAGGAGAACAAAATCTGGGGCGCTACAGGATTCGAGAGACTATAGCTTAGTAGACCAAGACAAGTGATGAATGGCTCTTGCCGGAGGAATATCACTTAACTTTAGCAAATATCCAGGAAGACATTGATAGCCAGTACCCTATAACCCCCAAATTACGGTAGTAATAGGATACCATGGAGAAGATGCTGTTTAATCGCCTCCCGCAGGAACACATAAAACGGTCATGAGCTCTCAACTCTCTAGTCGTTGCTATTAAATCTCTTATGATTTAGAGAGCACACCATTTGAAGAACAATTCTAGATTAGTATCCCAGGTAGTTTTTAGTTCAATCACAAGTCATCGCCTGGTCTCCCAAGCATGCACAGTAAAAAACAAATGCAGCAACGACTCTTGAATAATACGAGAGTGGCAATGTCGGATCCATTTATTTTCGGGTCTTTTTCACCTTGAAATCTTTGTATATTCCTTCAAATTTTAATTGCAGTGGGAATATCAGAAGCCTTAATATCGATAACTATGTCGGCATGATGACTCGTACCGAATGCAAAGGGGGGCATGGATTGATGACTAAGCTGAAAGACCCGCACCGAATACTCTACCAAAACTACTCCCATTTATCACTAAGGTATTCTCCGTTAATTATTTCATCTTCAACGTATCTGGTCCATTCATAATATTTGTTATATGGCCCGGGACATTTGCGTGCAGAGGCCGCAACCATTTGGCGGTTTTTCCGTCATTGAATTTATCCCAAATAACAAAACATGTATCTCTCTGTAGCCTTTCCACTCTAGTAATAGGCGTCATAATCAACTATAAAGCAACCAAGTGAGCAAGAATCGCGTTCCAAATTTCGTTTGATGTTCTGGTTAAATCTCGAAAATTTTCGTGAGTCATTTTGAAGGAGAAAATATTGTAAATGGATCGTAATGAGAGATATGCTAGGTGATTAGCTCAGCTTGTAAATAAACATTCTACTTGCTGACACTTACCATCTTCAGAGCTGGTAATGAGTGATCTAGCTGTGCTCAATAGTGCTCCGTACATGTCTAATTCCCCTTGAGCTTTACAAAGCGGCCACAAGCTTTCGATTGATCGACAAGCAGACTTTGCGAGCTCGCCATCAATTAAAGGAGTCTGCTGTAAAGCCAACTCCATGGAGTTAATGTCTTGATTTCCCCATAGTTCACGAAAGATGAACTTAATTTGCTGACTTCCCATGCACATGGCTATTGCAATTGTGCCTCGAATAAAGGTCATATACTCGACAAGACCGTCCGAGAGAAGCGTGAATTGGAAGAGTAAGATGAAACAAGTAGCCAGCATTACGTTTACTTCTTCGAATGAATCGACTCCCGAGGATGTCGCCGCGTTGAGACTTGCTATGGCTTTTACGCAATGATGAATAGCAGTGCTGGTGAGATTACAGTATGTAGTCGGAGCTGTGGGGTCAGAAGCAAGGTCAGAGGCTGATGAAGCTAGCATGGAACGAAGAAGATAATCATGCTGATACGTTATTAATGGCTCGACTGAAAATTGCGGTTAAAGAGGTTAACTCACATTTGATGCAATGCTTGGTATCTCATGAGTCCACACGGAGTCATTCCCAATGGGATGATGCGGGCGTGCTTCCTGAATGAAGTGGCGAAAAAGCCGAAAGTCTACCAAGTTGAAGACTGGACTGGTGGTTTAAAAACAGGAAGGTATGCGTGAAGCAAGCGTCGATCCATGTATTGAAATCTCAGAGCAACCTGATTGAGACCCTGGCGATTCACAATTAAGCCCTCTGTGGTCGCAATAGTCACAGATTGGGTGTTTTTCTTTGCACTGAAGCTCGTATCAGCATATTATATCTTGAAGTAGCTCCAGAGAAATACGTTGATGCGGGCTTTCTTGCAGTTCAGACATCCTGTTCTATATTTTTTGTGTCCCTTCCAGATCTTACTCTCGCTGCTAACCAGTGTCTCAGACGGAGCTTCCAGCGAAAAGTCTCGTGGAACCAAACTAGAGCCAATCTTGTAATTTCCATGGTCCAATATACTCAGCATAATCTGCTCACGGATATCTTGATATTAGACGTCTCTAGACTTGCGATGTTGAGGGAAAAGGGGGTACCGAGCCTCTGTAATCACTTGAAAATCGTGCGATCATGAATTGAGCTCTTTATAGATATAAAAGCCGTTCGCTGCTTCAAATCACTTCACTTCAATATAGTTTTCAGCCCCAGTGATAGATTATGCTGCCTAAAACAAAACGTGTCAGTCGGTGAGATGTTGTGGCTGCTTTGGCTTGTTTAGCGAGGATCACTCCAATAGGGAAAGAACGACAAGGTTACTCCTTGCATTTCATTTTCAAGTGACGCTAGTTTTCCAAGTCCACAACATCAAAGTCTAGATCCCTCGACGTCGGAGTCGGATGCACAATATAAAAGGCCAAATAAAGGGCTTACGAAGTCGTAATTCGAACGTCTGCGGCTCCATTCCAAAATTACTAGATATGCTGCTGAAAAACGAAAAACGATGATCACATGACTTGAGAACCGCACATGAATGGGAACATCACTCCAATTGAACTTTCCCTTAACATCTTAATTTCAGCGAAACTAGATCATACATCTGAGCCAGAAAGTTAGCTGTATATTCTACAAGTGATCTAATAGCAATACCTCCAGTGGAGACGATTAAGATATCTCGAACTCATGTTTTCTAATGCAGAAGTTTCCACATTCATAGTTATTGAAACATCAGCTCATTACTAATGGCCAAACATCAATTTGCTGCAATAAACTGCTATAATCCGTGATGGTTGCTTAGATGCTTCCACTTAATTCTATTTTAGAGGTCATAGATATCTTCTCTGATGTTGGCTTCACGGAAGTCTGAGGTCTAGTTGCCAACCGCAAACAGATCAGATTAAAAATGGCGAATCTATGACCCAGTGGCATGTCTTGAATTTATTTTCCTTCTCATCAACTTGCTTTCTAGACATGAATCGCAAGCAATAAACTACTCACTTTAGAGTGAAGAGATGAAAGAAGTTGGAACCTTCCTCAAGACTTAGACTTCTCGTCTTGTCTCTAAGCAATCATATGGAAATTTATGAGGAGCTTTCTTCATCTTGTCTTCTTAGTCAGTCATGTTTGCCTCTTGACTAGATTTTAAGAATTTAAATCATGAGATATTTAGATGTTATCTCTACTTCAATATATTCAAATTTTTCATACCAATCACTGAGAATGAATATGTTGTTCCTCAAGCTTTGTTTCTTTATGTGAAAATGAACAAGATAGGGTCCGAGCTCCTGGTTATCTGGTTAAATCTTTCACAGCTCAGCCTTTTGGTATCCAACACATTCGAAAGGTTAGGTTTGTACAATCTGAACATTCGAATATTTGCTTTTCCTAGTGGTTCTGCATAACCTCATCTTTCACACACACACGTCTTTTGGCAGTTTGGCAGGGAAGCTAGAAATCGATGCTTCATTCCATTACCATTTACAATATCCTCGAAACCTCGAACCTTTACAGCTCCTTTCGAATGTTGTGACCCTTCCTTGTACAGGATTACGCACGACACAGTCAACCATTCAACCACAAGCGTACATAGACCGACTATTACGGTTCTGTATCAATACGATCGAGTTCCTTCTGTAAAGCAGATATTCACTGGCACGGCAAATGTGAGTTCCAACCCTGTGTCTTGCTCTATTAATAAGATCTTTACTTACGTGTTTAAGTGGCAGCATGGATTCACGGCATATGCCTTTATCTCTGAAGCAGACTACCCATAAAGAAGGAGGCTCATTGACAATTCAAAGGCTCCCATCGGAGATAAGTCAAGGGATCTGGCAGTTATCACTGAGCAACAACCGAATCATAACAATAAACTGGGCGTATAAGGCGGATCAAGACATGGGTAAAGAATCCATTGCCAATGACTTTCATGCGACCTACGATACAATTGAGGCCCTAGGAGTTTCGACGGAATCGCGCAACCTCGCATTGAAAGATTACAAATTGTGCTTCGGCAGCGACATGCGCCATCCAATTTACTTCAACAGTAGTAAAGACATTCTCAGATTCACAAATTTGGCACTTGCACAGATCACCTACTTCTCAACCGGCGATGTCTGGAATACCTATAGCGTGCGAGCTGCTAACATCAAGCGCATTGCTGTTGAGGTGCCCAACGATGGTAATGTTTTCGCGCATCCAAGCATCATACCTGAAACAACGTTGTTGTGCTGTACCACTCTGCTGTTCGCTACCTTAGAAACGATATTCATACAGCCATCTTTTGTTATTGATCCATCTTCTGAGGCAACCTTCCGCGCACAATTTGAGAAAGAAATGCAAGCAAACCAGAAGTCTTTTGGTCCTCTTTGGGACGGAGAGCCCTATAATATTCCTGAAATTGTGTTTGTATGCTTCCAATGCGATCTAAATTTGCTCAAGGCATGTCAATGTTAAGAGTTTGTGGCGTGGGTAGCTATTGTGCAAGAGGTAGGGGCAGCATTTTGAAGGGAATCATGAGAAAATGGTTTGCAATTCAGGGAAAAGACTACATGGGGAATGGGTTACTTTTGATAGAGCGAGCTGTACTGTTGATGGCAATCATTGTACAAGACATTTAGATATGTAATCTCAGCTTCTGAGAATCTATTTATAGTACTACAGTAACAGAATCTTGAGTCAATTCAATATTACTGCTTCTTCTATTCTTGCCGTACCAATATCTACAACTGTTTCTAGAAAACAATCTAAATGACTCTGCAGCTTCTATTCTTCGTTTCCAAACATTCGAAATCATTCTGAAGAATAACAACTCTTCATCATGTCTTCTATTCAACAAACACAATCCGAATCATCGAATTCCGCCAACACTGACAGCCCTGGAACCTTTGCAAGTCTTCCCCGTGAGCTCGATGACATGATATGGTCTCAAGTTCCAGTAATCTCAGGCCTCCGCTTGATCGAAATTCGTGCCGATCCAACTGTCCAGACCGGCGAGAAACAATTCAAAATGAGAGTCAAATTTTGTGGAAACCCCAACGGCCGATCTTTGAACGCAAAAACCGTAATCCTTTCCCCCAACAGATACATGTTTGATCATAAGATCATAAATCCTCAGGTTGTCAACACCGCGCAAGACACCTTTATGTTCAACGGGATTAGTCAGTTACAAGAGTATGTTCAGCATACGGGAGCTATTATCAACAAAAATGGTGCGGTGGGCTCGGAGCCTGCATGCTATCCAACAATGCAGAACCTGGTAATCACACTGTTCCTGGATATTGGAAACCCGGGCTCAGAACCATATTCGGTGTGGCTCAATCATCTTTGCGAGAAAATTGATTTCAACAAGTTCATCTTGAAGAAGATTCTAAGAGAGCTTCTAGAGTCTGTCAGCAAGGCACAGACTCTTAGAAAGATACATCTCCTGATTGAAGAGGAGCATATGCCGGGAACTGGACCTATTGAGCGTATTGATGGTCGGCTCATGGATCTTTTTTCCAAAGACGATGAGTTGCAACGCCGTTATGGTGAGGGAATAAGAATGCCAGAAGTTGTGTGTCTGACGATGATGGAATTTCCTGAGGAATTGGTGAGAGTAGGTCGCAGATATGGCATAAATGTACTGGGAAGATCCAATGTAGCTTAGCAGTCTGGGGTTTGAACACAGAACCTGCATCTGATATTGTCATAGCGAGGTAGAGGATCAACAGTATATATTAAGCACATAGACTCTAAACTAATGGCATGATATCACGTTTTCTAATCAAGTGAATTTAGCATATCAAAGAATGAAACCACTAGATCTCGGTGAAAAAACTTATGAACCATGTGGCGTGATTTGTGACTCCCACCTTATCATCTTACAGTGAAGCTACGCATATATAAATGAACTAAGTTTCCTCTCCGATACACTATCCCTAAGACTCTCAAACATCTAAGAAGATTCTGCGGATGGCGACCCCAATCTTGAGTCAAAATGAAGGCCCGAATGCCGTCAAAATAACAGCAGAGCTGGACCCGAAATTTTGGAGCCTCAAGATCACCGGGACAAACGACAAGTTCCCTCCACAACCAATCGAAATCAAGAAGTACGATGTCAAGTTTGAGGCACTTGCAGATGGACAGCCAAGCGAGTATAGTAATCGGAGGCCCTGGATCATTAATTTTGAGGTCAATCAATTCGGAAATCACAAAACTTCCCAAAACCGGTCAATTTCACTCCTTGCGCTTTACATGTTTCACCAATTTGCTTCAAAATCGACTATAGGATTAAAAATCCAATGTTCTTTTGTCCTTCTTGCGACGTCCTCTTTTTTCGGGAATTTAGACACTTATGGGGGTATGCGGTAGCAACGAAAGGCATTATTAATTACCAATTATACCGCGTCGGGCCCGGGGACAAATGAGACATCTCCAAAAATCGAAAGAGTGGTGGTTATATTTGAAGTTCGTACGCCAATAAATTTGACTTTCCACGACATTTTGGTGGAGCTTCTCCCAGTAATCAAGGAGATTGGATCACTGAAGGGAGTCATATTGTTGGTGGGACGACAGTCTCTTCGACGACGAGAAGTGGGAACTTTGCGAATCGATGAAGACTTGAAAAAGCTTATTGATGAAAGCCCTGATGTACATTTACCCCCAGTAGGTGTTTATATGCCCAGTGTAACTTGTATGACGATGGAAACTTTCGAATCGACAATTGGTTGGTATGGATAAGGTCTAACTGACGGATGAATGATGCTCATACTTGTAATTGAGTCAAGACTTTGAACACTTTCGAACAGCAGAATTGGCAGTGGTTCTTTTTAGATAATGGCTGGGCGAGAATTACAGCCAGAGGGTGATGTGGTGAGACTAGAAGTAAGAAATGATACGATGATTCTCCTATCAGAGACGATGTGGTATATAAATTCTTCAATATACAAATGCCGTATATCCTGTGACTTTCGGATCTTGAAGTTCTTTCGCAGAGGTCTCGTTTGCAAACTCTGAAATAGGTGAGGCAATGGACGACTCTCGAATCGAAAGAATCGAAAGAATCGAGTAACCATGATAAATTGAACCTTTTCAATGACCCGGCAGTCCTATCTGAACTATCATATTTAGCATAATTCAAGCAACCACTCTGTGATTACTAGTTTCCAGATGATGTCCAAGGTAGGTGTCTCATCTATGCTGTGCCGATTCGATGATTTGGAAGCTTCCGGATACATCTAGTTACCTAGATATTTGATAACTTTATTCCTTCATAATTTCTCGAATTTTATCCACAACAGGCTATGTTTCTTTTAATGTTGTTCCAACATATCTTACAGTATTCCAAAGAGATACCGGCGGACTCGGGGCAGGACCGAGGCAGAAATAGAGTGAGCTAGATCCACGCTGACAAAATCTCCACCAATCTTCCTCTTCAAGCTGCAAGATTCTTGTTTGTCGTCTGCAAAAACTGCTGTCATAATCAATCTCATGGTAAATTTCATCTCTTCAAATCATCAATATTTCTCAGGGATTGATGTTGTCTCGAATATCAAAAAGGCACTTGAATTTAGGTCCTGGTCATTGAACAACTCCGCTGATTAATCCGGAAGAACCCCCCTGCACATACCTATCTCTAAGCAACTATTGTTCAGTGTTGCTTTCAAATGAAGAGTATTCATTAACATCAAGCATATACAGCTTGTATAAAGCCAACTTTCAGGAAAATAACTTCGTCTCTTAGGAGTATTGCGCCCAAGGAACTCAACCACAACGAGAACTGCGTAAACCGCCAATCCACCTTACAATAACTCCGAAAGTTTGACAATCCAAGAAATCATTTCTAACTTGGAAGCGACTTCTAAAAGCTTCATGAAAGTGCCTGAAATGCGGCTTTCAACTTGGGAAGCGTTAGTCCCACCACCTCGGCGAATACATATGCAAAAATCCAGCATGTCTTCCCCGGATGATAGATGCTGGGTGGCAAAAATTAGCTCTCATTCTGGGTCTCCCGCAATCCCAAATCCGCTTATTCTAGGAATATGGATGCGCTGAATCTCGAGATTATTTTATTTGCGAGAAAGGATACACTACACTTAGCTGTTGCCTCATAAACCCAATATACGTGAATTACTCAAAAGATCAGCTCTGGTTCGATTCTTTGTCTCGTCTTTGGAGTTACGCCAGGAAATCTTCTCATCAAGATCGTCGGGAAAGTCGCAATGGCCAAACCAATGAGGAAGTTTTGCAATTGTCAGGATTAGAAAACTTGGTATGAGCTTGACTGACACGAACAGAATAGGGCGTTTCTCCGCCCTTACAATGATTCATATAATCAAGAGGCTCCCCGAGTTAGAAGAGATTATCTTTGAGCTTCCAAAAGACAGATTTGAGGATTGAAAGGCTGAAATAGATGGAGAATTAAGCCGCTATGAGGAAAGGATGCAGGACCACGCTATCCTCGCTCCGAGAGCCCCTCCGTGACTTATTTACATAATGCAGGAAGTTGAAGCTCCTCCTGAAGATATATGAGCGCAGACTTCTACAGTCAATACGGAGTCTTAGAGACGAGAGAGAAGGATGGGAGATTCCGTAGGTGGCGGGCGGCCGCAGAGTGATGGGTGCTCAAAGACATGAAAGGTCTCGGATAAAATTATATCTTCAACATGCGATGCACGACTGGACTAAATTTTACGAACAAGTGGGAAAACTTGAGACTACCGGAATATCGAAGACGCTTGATCCAGAATGCATAGGCAACGATTATAGTAAACGTTTACTTTGCTTGCCAGCCTTGCACCCTAACTTCGTACTACCATATGCCAGCTGGCAGTGGCAGCTGCAACACTTCCTTTGTCGAAATGGATGTATAGATTCTCACTTGAACCAGAATACCCAGAGGTTTGTTTAGAAAGTGCAAAAACGACTTACCGCCAACTGAAAACAACTACAAATCTTTTGATGATTCTTTCGATACTAAATGTTTCTCAAGAGTTCCGAAACATGTCATTGAAAACTTATGGCTTATTGGATGTTCGATTATCAGCCCAATGCTATTCCACCTATCGGTCGAATTTCTCAGTTTCCATCATATGCATCACATGAAGTAGAATCTAGTTATGGGCACACGATACAAGTTCTACCAGAATTTTGGGGTCAAATTCAAGAAGTTTTCTATTGCTGTTCATCAGAGGATACAACCGTATATGTGATTGCCCTGATGGTGTACCGACTTTGGTGTGGTATCACTCTCATCCACTTTCCGAAGACTTCGAATACTAGCATAGACTTAGTTGTAGTTGGATCAATTATCGAAAACTCAAAAGGCATTCTGCACGATTGTGGGATATTTCAGTAGGTATTCCTGGAAGTTGGAGGTTTTATCTGCTGTATGTGAGCTGGACTTCGAGTGTATTTTCCATGTATCATAGTTCATTTTTGATCGCCTACCAAATGTTTCTTAAGTGTTAGACAAAAAATCTCGTTGTTTTACGACAAAAGTGGCCATTTTATGGACTGATTGCACTGCCTTGCACTTGTGATCGAACGTCGTTTTCGCACCATAGTGAACAAAATCCTTAGACTTGAATGGTTTTGGCAGTAATATCGCTCAGGTGGCAAGGGCAATCTGAGGAACTAGTAAATAGAGACCCAGCAATGCTGCTACTATTGCATCTTTCCCTCAGAAGATGATTAGCGCTAAAACTCCTGTCAAGAATGCTCTCTTGCGACTTGACACTTCAAAAGATGGTCGGAGTCAAGGAATTGATGAAAGGCAAAAGAATTTGCATGAAGATACTTTGAGCAACATAATGAGTTGTCGGTCGAAGTTGTGGAATGGAGAGTTTTCGCGGCTCAGTTGTTGACTGGGGGTTGTGGAGCACTTCTTCGGCAGTTAGCTGAAGATCTCGTGAGACGAAGCTATAGCCATTCTTATATATCATGACTCGGATCTATCACAGCCACTTTTTCGCCACCAACATAGCGCCATAATCTAGTTCCAGGGACTTCTTCATGTCCTCGGAAATATGATGATGGAACTTATCGATAGCTCTACATGGGCCAGTGATATTCTTAGTATCAGCAGCCAAGAACACAAAGTCTCGCCCATCCATGGAAGTTTTCGCGCAATATAACTTTCCGTGATTGTAAATTCTCTGCCAGGTAAAGATTACCATACAGGATATTCGCGCTGTCATCTATTCAAAAGCTTTTCGTCCATATTGAACTTCGAAGCTCTTGGAATGCGTCTGTTGAAAGTGTAAGGATCTTGTAATAGCTCTTCTGTAGACGACATGGCCAGTTCCATCTAAAACAGTAATCTGCTGTGAGGGTACGTTAGAATCTGGAAGCTCTGTACATCATGCGGAACTAACTGTGTGGAAAGATCTAGATATTTTTCAGGCTATCAAAATATCTTGAGCAACAAAAGCAGTGTCTTCAGCCTTCGGAGAAATCTTCCATGTCATAATCGTCTCCATTTATAACTTGAGCGCAGTAGAATCTTCAGCTGCTTGGGCGGATGTTCTCTTCGTAGGATTGGAAGTCTTGTTTAACCGAACTTATGGTCCCCTTAGCAGTCGCAATAATCTCCAAGAAAGATCGCGAGTCCCAAGGAACGAAAGTTGCGGCAAACAGTGGTAACAGAATTGTATCAAAATGTCCATTACTGCAGTTTTACGACAGTAGAGTTGTTAGCCCGCTACGATCGTATATCTCGAGGATACAGGCTCGAGTTACCGCGGAGCTCTTGAAATCGGACGCTTCGGTATATTTGATATCATGTAGTTGTCAGGCTGCAGGTTTATCGGCCACGAACTCATCGTCACGCACCGGATTGATGCAACAGCGCTCTTACTCTGAGGGATGTATAACTATGTAAACTCGGTATTTCATTGTCAATTTATGATCTTTAGGGCAAGCCATCTATGATGAGTCTGCTCAAGTATAGCTTGGTGCGATAGTCATAGAAGTTCATCGTTCTAGCAGCAAAATGGTGGTAGCAAGAGAGTTGAGGACTCGACTGCATTGGCGGAGAAACAATTAAGGGCGAGTCTTTTGACTCGATGCAGAACAATAGGAACGGATTGTGTGCGAAGGAGTAGTATACCAGACCGAGGTTGTATGAATCGGATTCGAATGATGGCATGGAAGTAGTCTCTCAATGGATATCAACGGATTCGTGAAAGACCGCTGCTTAAGAATGAATCGAAATCTCTCCCAGTAATCTTCCACGTAGAAGCTTTCTTCAGGTAAAGGGTTTCGTCTATGAGAAGGGATTGTTGTTGCTATTGCTTGCTAATGGCATTGATTCAGGGCACTAAAGTAGTGCGAAGACTACACGACTATCCAAAGCGTGTATCCTATCGAATTTCTTATATTTCATTCTAAGATCCATTTCACATGCCATCCTTCCTTCTACGGCTCTTTTTATGGCCCGAGATGACCACTTCCGGAATATCTCTTCGTTTGCACTGGCTGAACTCCTTCAAGTTAAATGCCTCTATTTTCGGACTAACTACCTTGGCACAGCTTCCTGAATTTGGATGCACAATTCCGCAACTCCTCTATATTCTTGCTTGATCTCTGAGGAATATAGAAAACTAATATGAGTACTCGCAGCTTTGGAAATAGCTTCGTTGTCTCCGTTGGAACCAAACATAGCAATAAGGCGCTCCGCAAGACTTCCGTGTGTTTCCATGTGCTATAAGTTCATATAGCACGCGAATACCCCAAGCCCGTGGTCGTAGGCTCACGATTGGTGTATCCATGGTTTTTTTGCTATTTCAAACAAGCCTCCAGGCGATGATGTGTACACCTTCGAAGGTTTCACGCATTTACATCTGAGATTGTGTGCGAAGCTGTGGCATCGATGCAACAACCTTCAAGAATCCCATGGTTTCGAAGTAGTGAGGAATCCAGACTCTCTTACGTATTGTAGCCATCCGAGTCGATAGATTTTTCAGAAAAGAAATGACATGATAGCCCTTTACTGCTTCTATTCATGAACTTCTATGTAGTTGTAGTTTTATTTTCGCCCTTATTATCGTGAATATGTCCTGGAGCCCAAGGGGATCTGTAAATCGAATTGTTAGTGAGTTTCTGTCAACACATTGCAGAAGCTCTTATCAAAACTTTCGATGTTAAGGCCAAAAGCTTGCGAGAGCGCTTTTCGAGGTTTGGAGAGACAAATGCCAAGTGATGCTGTGAGAATATAACCCATTGCATAAGATTCGAAGATATCTAGGACGCTTCTGGTAAGTTCACTTGACAAAGGATGCTAACAACAAAACTAATCACGGCGACCTCTTCAAGTCAAGTTAAAACGATCGAAACTTAGTTGGAGATTAGATAAAATTCACTTTGCGTATGTATGTTTACAGCCGAAAGAACATTGAGCACCTTTTTCCTCTTAACTTATCTTTTGAGTCAAGTCAATGATACCTTACATAGAGATATCTTACAATGTGTACCTACAATTAGAAATTGTGAATTCAAGTTTTTGTATTTTGTAACAACTCTTGACTCTTTAAGTTGAGCAGATTGATAGGTCTTTTAATTAATTTCTCGCTTCGAAAGGGGTAGGAAACATATTCAAATTGAACTACTCCAAACAGCAATCGAATTCAAATACAAAGGGGATTCATTACTTCTAGAAATCTAATTAATAAATCATATCTTTCCACTGGAAGACGAATGGGTACTAGCGCAATTTGACTTATATTCGCTCAGCCCTCGCACACTGTCGATTTTTAGTCCAGCAGAACAATCTTCCACGCCGACCGCTTTTCACAACACGGAATAAGCCATCAATTTTACCAAACATTAAACAAATTCGACCAAGAATTTCTCTGTCTTCCATCTTAGCAACATCTCTTCTGTCTTACTGTATCAAATTAGCTGTGATCAGTCCAAATATATTCTTTTGAGGCCACTAGCCAAGAACAAGTCATCATGGATCACACCCGTCAAGAATCCGTAGGTTATCTCATTTATCAACGAAGATTTTTTTTTTGTGAGTACATCGCTAACTCCATATTTAATATAGGGATCAAATGCCCACAGTGTTACTGGCACGCCCACTATCCAACAAACCAGTCGAGGAACCCAAACAGGCGCTGCAATTACAACACAAGTTACAAGCACGGCACAGGTTGCAAATATAACACAAGTCGCAATTACAGCACAGCTAGAATCTTTTGAGCTTTTCGGAGAATTGCCGCCCGAATTGAAAACAAAGATCTTGAACATTGCCGCTCGGGAGGTTCCTCGTGTCGTCGAGATGACACCGCAAGGAAACCATCGAGGATACACACCTGCGCTACTTGGAGTCAGTCGTATGGTCCGCAAAGAGGCTTTGAAAGTTTACAATACCTTGAGACCAGGATCTCCACAGCCTGTCTACTTTAACCCGGACAATGATACCTTTATATTGAATATTGCAGTAACGTTATCAACGGTTTTACCAATAGCACCGCTTGTATTAACACCAATTACATTACCACCACCTACATCAATTTCATTTTCATTAGGACCACCTACCCTAGATAGATTTACGGTTGTCGTGATCCTTGACCCCAGTGATGGGCCCGACTTCCAGGAACGGATGGCTTCCATAGGAGTTAAATCGTTTGTAGTCAGGTTAGGATATTAACCCCGTTTTCGACAGATATCATGGATGGCTCTGATTACACGCTGGAGCTCTGAATACGGAGAAATCCAGCTCTTTTCGGGCTCCTTCTTGCTGAGAGTCTCATTGGCACACTCTATCGTTCTCAACGTTTCACCCTCCGTTCTTCGATCTCAATCAGCACAATACTTTCTATTCTTTCAAACCAACTGCTACTACCTCGTTGTTTTCGTCTCGAGCTGGGGATTATGTTTCATCTCGAATCGACCACGGCAGCTCTCTCCTTCTCTCACCAACTTTCAAAAGTTTCCTAGTCTATGGCAATTTGGATTTTCGGAGGCATTAGAAACTCACTACGCAATTTGAGTACTGGCATGGGAATTTAGAACGTTCAAAAAAATATCACAAATAGCGAAGGATATCCCAGACAGTATTTCTAGGAAGTTTTGATGGGGAAAAACAAAGCTGATGGGACTCTCAACACCACCAGCTTAGTCATTTACTTGTTTGTTCTGGATTCACCTTTCTACAACATAACACCTTTGTCGCTTCGACGACAGGTACCAGATGTTCTACTTTCCTTGCTTCTTTTGTCAATTCTGGACATTTCAGTTCAGAGAACTTTTTTTTGTTGTGCGATTCTATGGTGCTAGAGGACGTCAGCTAAATCATCTTGTAATTTTCAAATTACATACGAAAAGGCATAGCGGTTCAGAATCAATAGGTTTTAGCGTCTCGTTTCATCTTTTTTGTACATTCCATAGGTGTCAAATAAATTATCAACAAAATCATGCTTCTAATTGTGCAACGTTGAAAGCTTGGCAGCCATCATTGAACTTGCGCATGTAACGTGAAAACCAACGCATAAAAGTCTGCAACCTGTGAAGACTCCTGTATAGTCTCTAATTTTTGATGCCACAAAGTCAACTTATCATGATCGGCTGCATGATGAAGTATGTGTACGAAGAGGCTAAATATCAGGCTGGGAGCTGCCTTCGGTGCATGTTGAGGCGAAGCACGCGACCGCTTGCATAGCATACGTTGCACCAAATATGCACATGTAATGATGCCCAGGGCTATGTTTAGGCTTCACAATGAGGTAATTTGGGCAGGTATGATTAGATGGCATGTGCAAAAATTTGTTAAATAAATATAAAGCCTGAGAGAACAAATTATGTACAAAATCGTGGATCTTCAAAACTCTTCTCGATAAGCGAGGCGGGCAACTTTACAGTAGTGAAAATTCGTGATTGTCTGAAAAATGTGCGTGAAGCTCGAATCGATGTCTGGTATTTCTGAAAGTTCTAATACCTCTTGATTATTAGAATATGCCCAATGATCACACGAAGTGAAAACTCTAATGGCATTGCGCTTGAGAGTGATAGACTTCCACCTCTCAATGCTGGGGCTCCATTCCCCACCCGTTCTTTCCATATTCATGGATTTCGCCAATTTCACGGCTCAAAATGACTCGAACTAGACATTCTTTAAGGTCTCTCTTGTAGTCTTACATATCTCGTTACGACTCGGGCTGAACAGGTAGTAAATGTGTTTCATGCCGGAGAGTTCGCTGATCACCACCACAAAAGCTTCCAACCATGTTCATTGCCCAATCCCTCACGCTGTACAAGTAATATTTTGGTAAGTTCTGTAAGCCAAAACTAAGACCGAGTCCATAGTCCAGGATTGTCGAAATCCATTGAGGAAGAATGGTTGAAGATATCTGAAGAATCGACGAGAAGAATTAAAACATGAGTATACAACATCCTAAATGCCAGAGCGCGCTTCTGAGGGATTGTTAGTAAACGAATCAGTCAATAAGGAATCTAGAATTACCTGGTCATATCCGAAATTCCCAAGGGATTCGTTCCAGTGTTCAAAATAAGACTGATAGGAAGTAGTAGTAGCCAGAGGAGGAAGACGCTGTACTCGTGTTAATTCCGTGATACGTACTGCATTTCATAAGACGGGACTCCCCGTACAAATACGAGGCCCTATCCTTCGCCCTCTGATGCCATCATCCCTGACAAAATATTGACTGGGGCGAGGAAGAATTCGGAAAGGATAATCGCGACTAGAACCCTTCTTTTCCCTGGAGAAAGAGAATGAGTTGAGTTTGGACTATCGTGAAAGCTCTCGTTGTTGATATCTACCGAATGGCCTTCGGGTATGTTTTCAAATTGATGTCGAGATATTTCGGATATTGTAGCCATCTTTGAAGCTTAGCCGGACAGGAGTGAAATTGCATAAGTAAAAAAGAATGCCAATAATCGCAAAATAACCATTTAAATGATGTATAATACGGGGTTTGACAATTCATGTTTCGTAAACGGAAAATATATGAATAACAAGGTGGGAAGTTCAAGGTATATGACTGGTCAACTCCCTAGTAATATTTATAGATGTGTGTATAGTTTATAGCGCCAAGATTTGAGTGAAATTCGATATCTGGAGTGCATAATTTCAGGTGTGGTTTCGATCATGGGGAGCCACTCATCATCGCATGTAATCGAAAAAAACGCCTTATTGCTGAACTCGTTCGCATAATGATGCTGAATGACCGGGGCTGAGATTAATTCGTCATAACTGCTCCTCGTTCCACTGCAGTAGTGTGAGAGATTGACACAGCGCTTTCTAGGATATTAAGAGGCGCCAAATCTTAGGTCATAAAGCATCTCCCCTTGAAAGATTCCTATTTTCGAGGCTCACTGGTCGGTAAGGCTTCGGTCAGGTCTCACTACATAATTCACGCTATGTAAGTTTATGTTTGTTCAACACAGCGTCTTCGCACGGAATACCACTCCAACACGTACACGAAAAGTGACAATCTCACAAATTGCGGAGCCTTCTCGACTCATCCATATAATACCAGTACACCCCAGAGTAGAAGAACAAATCAAGCAATCATTGGGAACACAGAAACCGACTTCGATTTGCAAGCGACATCATCGAAACTGAAACGAGTAGTATTCCGTAAGGTCCAATGATTATTGATTCGAGTAATGTTGTTGACTTTGCAGTAGTAGCAGTTGAAGAGCCTTACCCATGGGAGAGCCAGAATATATGCTGAAGATGGAGAATGAGAAGCCAATGCACCAATGTGGTGGCTTCCATTTATGTGAATTTCTACCCCCAAATTCATTCCTCTTCACCGGGAAATGGACTTTGAGACCCGAGCTTCTATCAACCGATATCAATTCAATCAGTCATAAGATGGAACCCCGGATTCAAGATTCCTATACTCCGATTTTGACTATTGTGTCCCGCCGGCCATCATACCATTCTCTCTTCCTCTTGACTCTCGCACTCCTAAACATCAGCTCTTCACTTCTCATGAGCGCAACCTTTATCTGTCTGAATTATAGCAGAAATCTAGAGACACCGAGCTCCACCATGTCCACAGTGAGCTTTTCCCGAACTCTCACTAAAGTGTGACTCTAACAATTGCAGATCATCACTCCCATTCTGGACTCCTTGGACCTTCAATTCAAGTCGTCACATGACATCATCACATTCTGCAGTTTCATCCTCGCGACAGGTGTCTTCACACTCACAATATCTTTATGGATGTCACATATGCTTGACTATTTCCGGCCCTCTTGGCTCTTTATAGTTCAAGTCTATGGATATTGGATAGGTTTTAGTCCTGCGGAGTTGGTGTTATGTACTTTCCCGTTGAGCGTTAGCGTTTGGATGATGGTCAACTGGGCAGTGTACTTTCTCCAGATTTGCAGAATCGGACAACATCTTCAACAGGAAGGGAGTAATAATGATGCGGTATATTTAGTTTAAGGTGATGTGAGTTGAGGCTTGTGGAAACAAGGGCAAGCGTTCGGTTTTGTTTGTTGACTTCAGAGGTTATGCTCGTGACAAGGTATGGGAAACGCTCGTGGGATCAAACACCGTATTTGCCAAGTCTTCATGAATAAATGTTGCGTAGAAAGAAATGCCTTTGTGAACTTTGTGTATGAAATTTTTGTTTGGATGTATCCTTCCGATTCCCCCGACATCGAACGTTTGAATATGCGAATGGAAATCAATAATCAGGTCCCCAAACATGATTTGAACCTAAGAAGTCTCCGAGATTGCCAAAATAAAATCTTCTTCCAAAACGTGACCGATGTCATTTACTCGGTCGACTTTCGTAGGACGAGCTCAAGACCATCCCACCTACCAGCTCTCATAGGATCAAGCTTCCTCAATTCTGAAAGCCAGGCTTTACAGTCTTGTATTTCATCATGTTCAGGCAGGCGCATTTCCATTTCACATACAGCAAGTGTGTACTCAAACAAAGCATCAAAAACCCACTTACAGTCCTCACCTCCATCAAGAAAATCTTTTAGGTTGATAAGTTGCTGCTTGATATATTCAATACGATCTTCCCGAGAGAAATTTGGAGTTATGGTTGCATGGCCAACAAACTCGGTAAGAGTTGACATGAGAAATTGATGATAGAACCATACGGACTGATCATACGGATACGCATCATTCCACATGGCTTTAGTGATAAGATCAAACTCTGGAGAAATGTTAGTATAACCTGTAACGCGATATACTGGACTCAAGTGTACCATCATCTAAAAATTGCCGCCTTTCAGTCGCGGTCGCTTGCCGCTCGTCAAGCAGCCTTGGTATTAATTTACTTCGGTTGTGCCAAGCTGAGAAATTTTTCAACTCTGCGTTGATCATTCTTGTAGTGTATGCAAATTCCGATTCGACCAAGCTTGAGCCATTCAATTTGGGATCCTCTAATTGTGAAACAACGGTACGTCGGTATCCCCAGCCATGGAAATTTCGATTATCTCTTGTCAACATCTTTCCCACTAAAACAAGTTCGCGCTGCCACAATCCTCTCGCAACATCGGCAGCCAATCTGTCATTTGCTTCTTTTAGTAACCACAATCGATAGTTCCATATCCAATAGCATTTTGGCCAGCCCAACATCAATGGAAATATAAAATCTAAGTCCGCCTGTATCAAATCAAGAATCGAAGAATTCTTCCCAGGACTCAGGGGGTGCGGGTCGGCCTGGATCTTGATCAAGTCCTCGGAAGACGCAGAGGTAGAGGAGGATGAGATTACGCCAGACGTCGAGTTCTCGGACGGCCCAGAAGAAGGCAATTGGGTATCCAATTCCAATGATGACTCCGATGATTTCGAGAACAATCCATGAATTAGCAAACGCCTGCGGATGTTCCATATCGTATAGTATTCGGGATTCTTTGATAGTAATTTAGAAGTTAGGTCGAGTACCTCACGGGTATATTGGTGCTCTGCAACCTTTCTTAACATTAGAAAGACCATCATTCAACTGGGCATTGACGTACTTTGAGCTGAATCAATTCTACCAAATCTTTGTATTCTTCAATATCCTTTTGTTCCTTTAGCTGCGCCGTTTTTGATTTTTGTTCAGTCGTCGCAATTCGTGGCATTCCGTGCTATAAATTTGATCAGTCTCAAGTTACCACGAAGTCTTAAGAGACATACGCTTGCCATCTTGAGAACTTCTCTTTCTATTATTGAAGGCGACAAGCTGGCTGAATGATAGTTGGCGGGGTGCTGGCAGATCAGTTCAGCCTTGTGAGATAGCTCTTGGAAAATGCGACTCATGAATTTGGAAAGTGGGGCCGGAGCTGTGTCATGTGAGCTCCGATTGACTATATCTCGGCACAATATCGGCTCGAGATCGGTTCACGTTGTTAGTACTTGCTTCCGATAACATCAATCAATGTTTCTCATCCCATCTCTTGTTTCATGTTCTCCTACTTCTCCTCTCTTCATATGTCCAACAACGGGACCAGAAGGATTATCGCCATTTTACAGTATTACTAACTTCAGCAGTACAGCAGTACATTATTGGCAATGCATGAATTGAATGTCTCTTAGGGTCATCTTATTTGTGCTCTTATCTCACCATAGGTTCCGCCGGTGCCCTCATCCGGTCAACGTTCTTTAGCCATTGACAGGCAGAAGCCGTAGGATAGCTTCGAGGAGTTTCCCTTGGACTACGGACCTACCCATTCCTCCCTTTTCTTCGAGGAAATCAGCGTGAGGTTCAATATTTCTATTTACTTTCCATTGTTCCTTTTCACGAGAGAGTGTCGATAAGCCGCTGTTCCTTCGCATCTTGTCGTTGGCCTCCTCGATTGTCACTGTTCATAGCATTGCTATGTCTTCTTTTTATAATGATGGGTGGATCAATAGCTCTCCAAAGATGCTCCATTCTCCGGACGACTCAGGTTATGACAGTTCATCTCCCAGACGAAGGTTAAGTATATTAAGTGGTGAGCGCCGCGTCTACCTTTTGATGCATGTCATTGTCTTATATATTTGCAGACACTCATTCGACTCATGACCCTGCCCTGCCACGGTTCCGAGATGAAAATGGAAAAGAATGGAAAACGAGTCTTTCCATGCGGATCAAAAATGTGATCAATGGAGTTCCTATCGACCAAAATCTGTCAACCATTGCCCCAAATAGCCTCCGGTTTGATGGATCATCTGATAGTCCCAAAACTCCAATTACTTCATCCTCTTCGACACTACCTCGACCAAATATCAAGTCAAGACCAACTCTTTCGAACACGCTCCGGGCTCGAACATCAGTTGACTCGACCCCAACCAGAAAGTCCGCTAGCTCCTTGCACTCTCCCGATCGATTTCTCCCTGTTCTGAAAGGATCTGATTCCGCGGCACAAACCTTCCGTGCTAATAAAGATCCTGGAAGTCTCTCGCCTTATGAAAGATTGATGAGACATAATAGTGCAAGCCTTGATGCTTTCAACCCACGTCGACGTGCTACATCACCAATTCCCCTAGCTTCTCGACCTGATTCCAGAAGAATTGTTTCTGCAAATCGTGGCAGAGGTATGGCATAGATCAAGGGTAACGATTTATTCCCATTCTGATCATTTTATAGGTGCTACTTGCCCTAATTTTTCAGAGAAGTGCTCCGGTAACACCCAATGGGGAGAGGCAGGTGAGTGCAAGTTTGATGTCCAGATTTCCAATGATGTCTTTACGCATATTTAGAAGATAGCTATTCAAGAATTTGAGAAAAATTCATCTTTCTCTGCCGTACTGATTACCACAGGTCAGTGTAGGAACCGTTTGGGCTGTCGGAGGAGTGGCTCCTGTGAGCGCTGGCATCTCAGATGGGCGTGGCGGTATGCTGGGCAGTGGAACTAATGCACCATTATACACAACATCCTTCTCCGCTTCACGTCCAAAAGCACAAGAAGACTTTGAAAAGCATGAAGACAGGCTGGCACAAGCATTAGATATTGACCGCACACAACGCGTCTTTGAATTTCGAGACCCATTAACCACGCCACCCACTACACCACTCGATTCTAGGTCGAAGAGGCATATCTTTGACACCAAAACTACATGGAATGGAACAGAGTGGGTGCTTGGTGGACCGGAACAAAGTTCGTAATTTTGTTTCATGCTCTCCATGTGTACAGATTGAGATTCTGATGATCATACAGAACAACAATTGCCGCAAGAACCTCGCACGCTTCCTGTTGCCCCTTTCAAATAAGTTATACATTCGCTGCTGTATTGTCTTTACTGATGTTCAGCACAGTTCTAGATGCACCAAACTTACGAGATGACTTTTATTGCTCGGTACTCGCATACTCTGCAACGAGTCATACACTGGCCGTTGGTCTGGGCTCATTGCTTTATGCGTGGTCCGAAATGGCGGGAGTTCATTTACTTCATGGCGGAACTTCAAATGCTTCTTGGTTGACATCGCTGGCATTCTCATCCACACAAGGAGCCAAATCAATACTTGCCTTTGGCAGGTCTGATGGTTCTCTGAGTTTGTTATCACTTTATGATAGTCTTTTGCCTAGATTCGAAGTCCAACAGCCCTGTCCTATAGCTTGCGTCACTTGGAGACCTTCGATAACAATGCGACCTTCGCGAAATCCACTAGCCCCGGGTATTATGGTGAAGACAGAAGACCTGATTGTCGGAGATGAACAAGGGAACATATATTACTATGTCGTTGAATGGCCTGATGCATGGGAAATAACTCGCGATGGCTGGTCTGGCTCTATGACACTTATTGCCAAGATCTCTATTCACACTCAACAAATATGTGGTCTCTCATTTTCCACAGATGGCTCATCATTCGCAACTGGAGGTAATGATAATCTTTGTTGTCTTTTCCGTACAAATGAAGTCACCCGGCCTTCTCGTGGTCAACTAGGCACCGCTGAAGAAGTATTCCTTGCCACGGCAGGTATGCGTCGCATACACAGCGTAGCGGGTCAAAGTCGTGTCAAAGAAATCACTTCCGGGGCCGAGAAACATCGTTGGATTCATGGAGCCGCTGTCAAGGCAATTGCATTTTGCCCCTGGAGAGATGGCCTCATTGCAACTGGCGGTGGAAGCAACGATAAATGCATCCACTTCTTTCACACCTCTTCCGGAGCTTGTCTGGCTACCATTAGTGTAGCAGCTCAAGTTACTTCTCTTATTTGGTCCACTACTCGTCGTGAAATTGCAGCCACATTCGGGTACGCACAACCTGAACATCCATATCGAATCGCCGTTTTTAGCTGGCCAGACTGTAAACAAGTAGCTGCTATTCCATGGGAAGGCGAGCATCGAGCACTATTTGCGATTCCATATCCAGGTGGCCCAAATGAAAGCCATAGTAGTAGGGAAGGGGGAAGGGCCTTGACAAGAACGGCTCAAGAAGGTTGCTTAGTTGTAGCTAGTAGTGATGAGAGTGTTAAGTTTCATGAGGTTTGGACAAGTAGTATGAAGGCTACTAGTGGAGGTGAGGGTTTACTAGGTGGAAGTGATATTTTAGAGGGTTTGGAGGGAATTGACAAGGAGGGCGGTGTTATCAGATAAATCTGTTTCATAGCATCGAGGCGGTCAATGGCGGCGTGAAGATGAGTGTTCGAAGAACGCGTAAGGAATCGACGTACATACGGTAGTGTATACATCTGTGCGAAACAAATTGATATGGGATAAGGACAAAACTAGAGAGGGGAGGGAGGAAGTTACTAGATGAAATGAACGAGGAATTCAGAGAGATTGAGGGATGGAGAGATGAAGAGATGATACCACACCTGCCTTTCTTTTGCCAGTTGCAGACACGAGTACATACAAATTTGCTTATTCTTCTGAATCAAAACACAAATATTCATTACCCGACGAAACTTTACTTTTGATTTCATGGGTTTAGATTTCCGATTTTTTAGTAGCTTGAATTCGTGGAGTTTGAGCGAGTGTCAAGACGTATGAAAGAAAAGAAAAAGATAAGATAGGTCACCGGGAGAGTATGTTGAGTGCATACATAAACAACGACTGAATGTAAAACTCGGGTAACCTCACCTAGAGTAGCCACAGATTTGAATGATAATGGTAATGTTATTGATTATGAAAATGTTGATAATAACGATGAGAGAATATTCTACCCTTTACGGGGTGCTACTTACCTGGTTAGATAGATGCTTAGAAGAAGATTTATACTATGTACTGAATAGTAGATACTAAGTAAGGGGATTCATGATTTAAATTTCATGTATGTGAACTTTGAAGTTCAAACACTCACCGGGGGGCGAATTGAGAGATATCAGGTAAGTAGGTAGGTAGGTAGGTATTTTGAAGAGAAGATCAAGAGATGAAAAGATAAAACGATGAAAATGAAGAGTATCGGTGCTGGTAATACTCTATTGATTTGTTGATTTACTTATTTACTTACTTATCTACTTGTTTAACAATCTATAATGCTCATCGACTTACCTACTTATAGAACCATTTGGTCTGAGAAAGATACGAAAGACGTAGCACCTACGTATTCGCAGGTCCTGTATGTCTAATTGTGTTCTGTCTAAAGAGCTAGCTAGCTATGTATAGGAAGTTGTGACAAGAACATATATATAAAGTACTGGATACTATGTAGCCGTTGTATGAAAATTTGAATATATAAATCTCACTTACTGAAAGAAGCGAAATGAGGGAATCGGAATACTAGGTGGGTGAATGAATAGATATTTTGATGAGAAGATTAACTGGAGTGTTGTGTTAGTATTATCTATTTACTTATTTACGTATAGGGAAAGATATAAGATAGATATTAGATATAAGATAGATGTCAGCTGAATAACTCTATACTATTGTATAGTTGTTTCAATATATGAATTTATAAGTCTGTAAGATGCGAGCTCGCTACAAGGTAGTAAAGTTAAGATGATGAAAAAAGAAGGGGGAGAAAAAAAGGAGGGAAAGAGAGAGTGAAGAGAGTGAAGAAAGGGAGAGAGAGAGAGAGAGAGAGAGGGAATGAGATAGAGGGAATGGACAAGAAAAACAGGCGTACAGGGAAAAAAACGAGTAATAACACAATAGGTATTCACCGGGAGCTCGAGGTAGGAGAGGAAAAAATAAATCATGTGATTATTTACACATGATCGTACAAGTGTTCACGCTAGTGTCTAGCGTGAACGTGCTGCTGTACGGGGGACTTGCATATGTGGGTGGGTAGTGCTTTTCAACAGTTTACTCGTACTCGTAATCGTGTCACTGATACAGCAGGTTCTTCTTCAACTTAACTTTCGCTACCTATCACACGTTCACCCATCCATACCTATGCAAACCACAGCATGAGTTTTTGATATGTTTTTTTTTTTTTCAATTTTGTATCTATCTATCTACAGAAGTATGTATCTCACCGCTTCAATCAGTCGATCAATAAAAATCCGCCAGATCGACTGGTGCCTCTTGGGCTTACTTGATGTACTAGCTTCCACCATGTTCACTCCTCCGCGTCTCCATCGGACTGCTGTACAAATGTACCATCTCTCCGTGTTTTGCAGCAAGCTGCACTATCGACCTCTGAATCCCTAATCCCGGCATACAAAGTGCTTAGCAAGCCAGTAAACATTGATTGACCATCAAAATGCCTTAGCAAATATGATGATCCGAATGTTAAACGCCAAACACCTTGCTCACGTGAAAAAAACAACGATGGGTGGTATTTCTTGAGAGAAAAAGAAAGAATTAAACGGTCAAGAAAAGGTAGAAAAAGGAGGGAGAGCATCCTCCTCGCAGACAATTGTATGCTAAGAGATTGTTCGAAATCTTGTGTTTCGGCACGCCAGACTGGCATCTCTCGAGAGACTTCGGAGAAAGATTTCCCAAAAGTAGTTTGGTCATAGCTTTGCTCCTCGACATGCGGCATATCTATAGAGTCGCTATTCGATGTGTCGTGTTTCGTATGCGTAAAGTGGAGATGGTCATTGGTAATATCTCCAGGGATTTTTGACACTGGATCGAATCGCGAGGAATACATGCACGGTATCATCGTTTTGTACCTGGAGAATTGAGTGTACCTCAATCCAAAACGAACTCGATGGAGTGTCATCAACAAAGTCGAGATGTAACTCCTGTGATCCCGCCAGCACTGTTTCTATCTTATAAAACTTTCGGAGATAATCGCCATTCTGGATGAGACTGGCTATCTTGATGCAGCTTTTCCTGCGGATATGGAAAATATTCATACATTAGACAAAGCACATTAGGTACGTCAATGCCAATGGCATGACCTCTCAAGATCGCATTAGTTGTTCACAGGAGCAGATGCAGACGCATCTGCGCCAACCTCTGGAGAAGAATCTCCACCAGTGTGAGTAGTCTGGGCTTGAGCTTGTGTTTGAATTGTAGCCATAGGGACTTCTACAACCGGAAAGACTTGTGAGATGGTTTCCTGGTCCTTTGATTCGGCTGCAGTCGGAACATTTTCGTCCTGCTTTTTGCTTTCTGTGACTGGTGTCTGACTGGGTTGATTTGATTGACTTTCTGGCTGAGAGCTAGCTTGGTTTGGGGGTTCAGTCGATTTGATATCCTTGACAACTTCTTTTTCGTGACTCGGATCTTCTGTGGGCTTTGGAGCTAGATTTCCTGTTGTTTTCGTGGGCATTGAGGTTTGAGGAGCAGGAGCTGTTTCTTCAAGTACCATTGGTTCTGGAATTGAGGCCGAAACCAGCAAATTGTTTTCTCTGATTAGTGGAGTACCTAGGTTCACAGCTGGAGCCTGAACACGGCCCCATTCCAAAGTTGGATTGGTATTGTATCTATTGTCGGAGATGGGTGCGGAATTTGTAGAATGTTGCGCAGTTTCTCCATTTTCTGAGGCATTTGCTCTAGTAACATCCTGGCGTCAAGTTAGTGATAAATTCGTATCTAAATTCCAATGATTGAAAGAGCACTACTTACTCCGCGGGCTAGTGAAGAATATGAGGGGCCTGGTGAAATTTCAACTCCTATTGATGCTGCCGTTAGTTGGGGAGCTGAATCTTCTCTGGTGTTGATGCGCTTTGGAGAACGTCGAGAATTTCCCTTCCACCAACTTCCCATGCCGACACCTCTAATCTCTCCATCACTCAAAACCTGCTGTGCGTCTCCATCACCTCTCACGTTGCTTTCTTCCATTTCTATGTCCTCTCCATTTCCATGGTCCATACTTCGCTTCCCACTTCCGTTCATTTTCGTTTCCAGCCACAACTCGCGGTCTCGATCAACTTCCTGGTATTCTCTATCCATGTGATGTTTCATCGCAACATTTCCGCGCTCCATCCCATTTACTCCTTCAACCCACCTAATGTTCATGATCAAGTAACTCAAACCGTCGTGAGCACGAGTTATTTTGCCTCCCCATTCGCGACTCTTTATACCATATCGGATCGTGCTGAAGTACTTATCAAGACAACCCAGAACAAGTACTGTGACATGGAGATCGCGATTGTTACGAACTGGCATAGGACCTCTAGAAGGAGGGCGGTCAAAAAATTCATCCGGTCCGTCAGCCATCGTATCTAGTTCTGGCTCAACGGATATTCCCTCATCTGCTTGATAAAGATCCAAAAGTTTGACATCGATATCATCGCTCCATTTCCCGCAAATCCAACCTTGATGAATTAATGCTGCAATGATGTCCGAGTCGTCCGAATAGACATCAGTACCCCATAGATTTTTCCGAGCTGTGATTTGTGCTCTGCTTGGCGGCTGAAGATGAACGCGGGAGATCTTTACTGTAAATGTACAATTGATCAGGTTTTCGAAATTTGCGCTGCTTCTATTGGTACCAGCAAAGGCGCGATTATATGGCACTTCGCCAGTAGAGTTCGATCGGTACAATGAGAGATTTGCCTGGTAGTATTCACCGCCAAGATGGCAACGAGGGTGCTGTGAAGCGTCATCAATGATCTCTTGTGAATGAACTCGGTATTTGGGCATATGAAGATGGTTGTTCATAGGAGGGGGAACTTTTGCTCCTACCGAATTGTGATTTGGTCCTGCGGAGTGGTGATGATGGTGATGGTGATGATGAGAATGTGGATTTGAGAGATGATGATGCGGAACAACAGAAGTTTCTCCGTGGGGTGGAGATACATCACCATTGATTCTTTTGATGCTTTTAAAGGGCGTCACTGATTGAGATGAAGGTGGCGGGATGTGATCCAAAGCACCGGCGACTCGGTGTTGGTGACTAACACAGATTAGACAGATTCTTAAAATAGGGGATGTGGGAATTTGAACATACGTATGTCGATGTGCAGCATGCTTTGTACGTTTTCCTCTGCCACTAGGAGTCTGTCGTCCAGTGCTACTATCGTCGTCATTTCTATCTTCCTCCTTGAGCTTACGGCGTCTTCCAAATGGACGAGGCATTGTAGCACTGCCATTTTCAATAGGCGAATGATGAGCAGAAGGAGAATCGAGATCTTCACGGCGTGAGCCAGAGAAAGGCAAACCACCAGTAGTAGAGCCCGTAACAGGACTAGATAAACTCAAAGCCACTCCGCTTCCAATGCCAGGAAATATTTTACCAAACTCACTCTTGATGCTAGGTTCTCCCGCGGGACCAGGTTGCTGTGATTGTGCACCTTGTACGGCTTGAGGAATAGGTGAGACTCGACCTCCCCTACGGTTGTCTTGAACACTCAGAAGTCCTCTTTGGTTCTGATGTTGCTGCATCATTTGAGGAGGTGCTTCTTCTACCAATCTTCTCTGCGGGGAGTCATGCTGCGGGTATTGGGGATTAGGTGGCATAGATCCAGCAAATGCGGATTGCTGAGCTTTAACCTCCGCC